TTTCAAACAATGACCTGTGTGTGTGTGTGTGTGTGTGTGTGTGTGTGTGTGTGTGTGTGTGTGTGTGTGTCTGCTGGCCCTGGGGCTTGAACTCAGGGCCTGGGCACTGTCCCTGAGCTCTTTCACTCAAGGCTAGTGCTCTACCATTTGAGCCACAGCTCCACTTCTGGCTTCTTGGTGGCTAATTGGAGATTTAAAAAAAAAAAACCCTTACAGTCTTTCATGTTCAGGCTGGCTTTGAACTGTGATCCTCAGATCTCAGCATCCTGGGTTAGCTGGGATTACAGGTGTGAGCCACGAGCATGGATAATATCCAATATTTATCAAACGTGTGCTTTGGGCCAACTTCTTACCAGAGTTCCCTATGCGTATAATTTCATTTAATCACGAACACTGTTCTATAGTGTTATTAGGGTTTTTTTTTAGAACTAAAGAAAGAAGAGATAGACAAATGAATTTCTCCACGGTATAGGAGATCTGAAATTCGAACACACACAGCTAAGCCATAAAATGAATATTTGATATGGGAGAGTAAATCCAATTTTCTCCCTACTATTCCATTTTTAAGTTATAGCTTTGCTTGTTTTTTAATTTTAAATGTGTGGGTCAGTCCTGGGGCTTGAACTCAGGGCCTGGGCGCTATCCATGAGCTTCTTTGGCTCAAGGCTAGGGCTCTACCACTTAAGCCACAACTCCATTTCTGGCTTCTTCTGGAAATAAGAGTCTCACAGATTTTTCCTGCTCAAGCTGGCTTCTAACCATGATCCTCAGATCTCAGCCTCCTGAGCAGCAAAGATGACAGGCATAAGCCACCTGCTCCCAGTAACTTATATTAAAAAAAACAATTAATTGACAGCTTATGAGCAGATTTCTTCTTTGTCATAACAGCCATTCCAAATAGATACCGCAGGATAAGAGTGAAGACAAACTTTCCATCATGGAACGAATAGGTACATGTGTATTCTGGAACTTGTGTTTAATGTGGATCATTATATTGCTGCTTGTATCTTTTCAACATGTATAAACCGAGATTTTTCTGGCCTTTTAGTTTAAGAGAATAACTCATAAACAGTCCGGATTTTACTGCCACAAAGCTATGCAGATGGGTGGTGGTGTAAAGCCAGCATTAGCTCTGATAACACTTCCATGACGTTGACTTAATGAAAACAAAGAGGACATGTTTATTTAATAAAAAAATAATCAAGGTGAACTGCAAGGGAGTCGATGTACCCCCCCCCCCCAAACCCACGCTTCTTGCTGCGGTCCCTGGTTTTACACTGTTTATGAGACTTAAATTCCAGATCTTCTATTTAAAGGACGGAATCCAAATTGGGTTGTCATTTAAATAGTATCTTGGGAGTTAGATTTGTGTTTTGTTTTTGAAGGTCACATATAAATCTTTCCATTCTAAGGCGAGGCAGTGAAGTCTGGAATGTTCTAGAATGTTTCTCTAAAGGAAAGGATTTGTTTGATCGTTTGTACCTTAACAAGCTCCATCGGGGTTTTGTGAGCAGATGATTAGTTCGTTTGTACACTTGAACAGGACTTCAGGCTGTTAGTTTAAAACTTTCCTTTAAACGCTTTCCTTTATATAAACTTGACCTTTTCTGTTTGGTATCTCTATCTGAGATCTTCCTCGCTAAGTGAATATTTCTGAAAATTATTGTTATACCTAGAGATCGTGTCTGTGTGTGCATGTGTATCTGGCTACAAACGTCACTCTTTTTAACCACTTTTGTTAAAAATAGATCATATAAAAGCAAGTTTTCTTTTTGTGTGTGCTGGCCCCGGGGCTTGAACTCAGGGCCAGGGCGCTGTTCCTGAGCTTGTTTTGCTCAAGGCTAGCGCTCTACCACTTGAGCCACAGCGCCACCTCCAGCATTTTGATAGTTAATGGCAGGTAAGGGGTAGAATAGCAGGCATGAGCCACAGGCACCCCACACAAGTAAGTTTTATTGTAACCATTCGGTAGACATGTTCAGTGGACTATAATATGTACACATGTGTGTGATATCTCTATGTGTACATAGCCAAATATGTAGCTACAAAGATAGCTGCGTAAATTCACAGACAGATACATAGATGGATGGATGGATGGATGGATGGATGGATGGATGGATGGATGGATGGATGGATGGATGGATGTGGGTGAATGGGTAGGTGAGTAGAGGGATGGATGGATGGATGAGTGAATGGGTAGATGGATGGATGGATGGGTGGATGGATAGGTGGATAGATGGATGGGTAGATGGATGGATGGATGGATGGGTGGGTGAGTGGATGTATGTATGAATGAGGTGGAGAGATGGATGGATGGATGGCGTGGATGGATGGTGTGGGTTGGTGGATGGATGGGTGTTGGTGTGGTATGGGTGGGGGTGGGTGAGTAGATGGATTGAGGCTGGTATGGATGGATGGATGGATGGATGGAGGGTGGACAGGGTGGATGGGTGGGTGGGATGCGTGAATGGAGTGGATGGGTGGAAGTGTGGATGTGATCGATGGAGATGGATGGGTGGTGGGTAAATGGGTCGATGGATGGATGGATGGATGGATGGATGGGATGGATTGGAGTGATGGGTGGGGTGGTGGAGGTGGATGGGGGTGGAGGTTGGATGAGGTGGCTGGATGATGGATGCAGGTGGTGGGTAGATGGATGGATACAAGGATGGGCGTGGGTGATGGATGGGGAGGGAGATGGATGGAGTATGGTAGATGGGTGGACGATGGGGATTGATGGCTGGGTCGTATAGATGGATTGTTGGATGGGTGGGTGTGTGAGGATGGTGGATAGATGGATGGATGGATGAGAGGGCTGGGCGGGTGGGTGGGGTGGGACGGGGGTGGGTGGGTGGTTCGAGGATGGGTGGGTGGGGGTGCTGGATGGATGGGTGGGTGGATGGATGATGGAGTAGTGGATGGATGGATGGATGGATGATGGATGGATGGTTGGGGTGGGTGGAGTGGGTGGAAGTGGATGGATGATTGAATGAAGTCCCTGTCACTGTCTGAAGCTCCCCGCGGCTCTGATGGTGACCGCCTGTCTCCAGCAGGCCGGGTGCTGTGGGAGGCAGCCAGCCTATGCATCTGCCTTCTTTGTGCATAATGTGTGTGGTCTGTCTTGGCAGGGCTCGTGGTGAACCAATTAATTGTTGGTTTTCCATTTCATGCCTCTTTGAAGCCTGTAGTTCTTGGAGCCTAAAAGGTAGCGATTGCTTCTTACTGACGATGGCGGCATGGAATCATGATAACGTCTGCTAGTGGACCGGAAACCTAAGAACAGCAGGAATTAATAGCAGAAGGGGGTTGTACTCGAACGGTTCACGTCGTGGCCCTCAGATGAGTCACTTCAATGGTTCCCTTGGGCTTGTGCTCGTTACACTCAACGAAATTCCCCTTCACAGAGCAATAGCCTGGGCACACCGGAACATGGTTAGCTGGGGACAGTGGCTCACGCCTGCCATCCCAGCTACGCAGGAGGCTGAATTCTAAGGATCCCAGTTCAAAGCCAGCCTCGCCCAGACACACCCGAGAGTCTGTGGTCGCCAGGAAAGCAGCAAAAATTTCCATCAGATTCACTAAGGAGAGAGGTGTGGTTCAAATGGTGGAGCACCAGCGTTGGATGGAAAGCCAAACGAGACCAAGAGAGGCCTTGAATTCAAGCTCCATGTTGGCTTTCTCTCTCTCTCTCTCTTTGTCTCTGTCTCTGTCTCTCTCTTTCTGACACACACATAATTAATAATATGTATAAACCACACATAATTGTCTATCATGAAGCTGTCACTGTGGCTCATCGATATACTTATGTATAGTCATTTTCTTGTGTACACTTTAGGCCTCCTAAGGCAAAGAAAATCGGTCATGTGATGGAATTAAGCATTCGAATGACGTATTTATTTAGGACCTGGAATGAAGACATTGGGGATTTGGTTTAGCATAGGAAGCCACAGTCCAGGCTGCAGGATATCTGATTTTGGGGTGTCCTTTGTGTCGAGGGGGGATGGAGAGAAGACAGGTTCTTTTCTTGCAAATGTGCGTGGTTCACGATCACTTTGACAGTTGGTTTCTCTGTGGGTAAACACATACATTCTTCTTGTCTACCATGCTGTCACACAAGCATTTCTCCACCGGTATCCTCATTAGAACCATCTCATGAGTACCGTACGGTTTGCCTCAGGATGATGATGATTTTCTGATTACGAAACAGTACCTATTTATGTACTCATTTTTTTGATGCCAGTACTAGAACTCGAACTCAGGACTTGGGTGCTATTCTTTAGCTTGTCTTGGCTCAAGGCTGGTGCTCTTACCATTTGAGCCACAGCTCCACTTGCTGGCTTTTGGTAGCTCCTGGGAGATCAGAGTCTCATGGACTTTCCTGCCCAGGCTGGCTTTGAACCGTGATCCTCAAATCTCAGCCTCCTGAGGAGCTGGGATGACAGGCGTGAGCCACCAACGCCCCCGGAAGTCATTCCTTTTTATTCACGAAAAGATTTTTTTTTTAAACAGCTCATTTTAAGAGTTTTAAAACAAAAGCTTAAATCGCATTGTTTTACTTCGTTTACGTTCATTTTTAATCGTGGTTAGTTGTACGGAGGAGTTGAGGTTCAGCAAACCTGTTTAAGTCCATTTTGAGATCTGCTGAACCCAAATCGAACCTTCCACCAAAAAAAAAAAAAAAGAAAGATCATGTTTCCTCAAAACCCGTGTAATCCTGTCGGCTAAATTCACTAAATAAAATCATGATACGTTATTTTCTTGGAGGGGGGGGTGTCAAAAATGTTATGGAAATAGTAAAAAGTCCTCCCAATCTCCTTGAGCAAACTTTGTACCCCCCCCCCAAAAAAAAAAGAGGCGGGCAGGTGACTTGGTACTGAGATGGTAGCATCGTCCAGCTGTGTTGTTATTAGTGGGCGGACAAGAGAAAGCCGAGATTCATGCTGTGCGCTACCCATCTCGGCCTGGTCCCATCCTGACCCTGTGCTGGTCTGGCATCTCAGTCCTCAGGAACCAGCATCACGGTGGACATCGCGGTGATGGGGGAGGCCCACGGCCTCATCACCGACCTCCTGGCCGACCCTTCCCTGCCCCCCAGCGTGTGCACCTCCCTGAGAGCCGTGAGCAACCTGCTCAGCACCCAGCTCACCTTCCAGGCCGTGCACAGGCCCAGGGCCGGCCCGCTGCTGGCCTTCGGCGACTACGCCTGCTCCGACTCTGAGGAAAGCACCGACAGGGACAAGCAGGCCGTGCCCAAGGTGGGTGGCGGCCTTGAACAACTCCACGAGCTTCTGTTCACCGTTGCTGTGCGTGCGCCGCGGTCCTGGGGCTTGAACTCAGGGCCTGGGCGCTGGCCCTGCGTCTCTTTTCGCTCAAGGCTGGGTGGTGCTCTACCCTGGGAGCCACACAGCGCCACTTCTGGCTTTTTTTGGTGGCTCACTGGAGAGGAGACTCTCATGGACTTTCCTACCCGGGGCTGGCCTTGAACTGTGAGCCTCAGATCTCAGCCTCCTGAGTAGCTGGGATGACAGGCGGGAGCCACCGGCGCCTGGCCCTTTAGTCCTATATTTGCATACATATTGAAACCAAGACTCCCCCAAATGGTTCCCTGGAGGTCCCCTTCCAGTTCAGCAAGTGCTCCCCTCTTTCCACGCTGCAGCCAGAGACGTTGCGTGTCAGAGATGCCCGGTGATCAAAAAATAAAAGAAGAAGACACCGGACACGGTTGGCTCCCGCCTGTCATCCCAGCTCCTTGGGAGGCTGAGATCTAGAGGATCTCAGTTGGAGGCCAGCCCGGGCAGGAAAGTCCGTGAGACTCATCTCCCATGAACCACCAGAAAACCGGGAATGGAGCTGTGGCTCGAGGGGTAGAGCACCAGCCTTGAGGGAAATTGCACAGGGACAGCGCCCAGGCCCTGAGTTCAAGTCCCAGGACTGGCAAAAATAAATAAGTAAAGTAAAATAACTGCACGCTGTCTCCTAGCGCCTGAGGAAGAATCTGCCCCCCGGCTTACTGCGCAGAGTGTCCTCCACCTGGACTACTACCACGTCAGCCACGGGCCTCCCCACGTTGGAGCCTGCCCCCGTGCGGAGGGACCAGGGTACCAGCAGCACCAAGGTGCAGGAAGCCTCTTCGCCCAGGTCAGATTCCCCCTCACCCCCCAGAACATGTCCCCAAAGTCACCTTGAACTATTACCACAACACATAGGGTCAGACAGCAACCAGTCCACCGGAGGTCAACCGAGCGCCTGCCGAGCGTGGTAGCTCATGCCTGTAATACCAGCCACTGGAGGGTCTGGGGTTCAAGGTGAGCCCAGGCCACACAGAGCTCACCAGACTCTCTCTGTCTGCGGCTGCAGGAAATACAGAAATGGGTGCCGTGGTCCAGGCCTGTCATGTTTGTGCCAAAAAGACAGCATGAATAGGAGGATCAAAGTCCAAGAGACCTGGGCACCGAATGAGACCTGCTATCTGGAAAATAACCAGCACACACACACACACACACACACACACAATGTACATGGATGTCTGTGTATACGCACACACATACAAATACACATAGGCATACTCACTACATATGTGTGTGTAGAAAGAGAGAGAGAGAGGGAGAGAGTATACTCACTTCCTGTACCAGCTAGCATTGATAAATGGCATTTAATAATACTGCTAAGCATTGCTTAAGGAAGTGAATTATAACCTGGAGATTTATGACCAGACGTGTTTCTTATTTTACCAGTGAACTTTGCCCAAATTTTCTGTCATGGCGTAAGGTCGATGATTTTCTTTGCAAAGAATGTTTCCACGAAAAATCCATTTATGCCTTTGAAATAGAGTCTTGTCTTTTCTTTCTCTCTCTCTTCCTTCCTTCCTTTTCTCTCTCTCTTTCCTTCCTTCCTCCCTCCCTCCCTCCCTCCCTCCTTCCCTCCTTCCTTCCTTCCCTCCTTCCTTCCTCCCTCCCTCCCTCCCTCCTTCCCTCCTTCCTCCCTCCCTCCCTCCTTCCTTCCTTCCTTCCTTCCTTCCTTCCTCCCTCCCTCCCTCCCTCCCTCCTTCCCTCCTTCCCTCCTTCCTTCCTTCCCTCCTTCCTTCCTGCTGCCCTTTGTTACTTCTCCTCAAATCTCATTCCCACCCCCTTTGCTTTTTGTCTCTCAGATCAGTTGGGGGAGAGGAGGTGTTTGAAATGGAAATCTCCCAAGGAAGAGAATACCAAGAAATTTCACGAGCTTAACTGTCAGGGATCTTGCTCCGCTGCCTTAAAAAATAAATCCTCGCCCTCAAATATTTTTCAGGGAGATAAGGAATAGCGTGGCCCACTCAGCCTCTAAAAATACTCGTGGATGTTTTGGCCTGCTGTAGATTTTCCCCCTGTCCCCCCCTAAAAATTACCCAGTGCAAATCCTAAAAGTGATAAAAAGGGTTCCCCCCCCCCCACCGTTATGAAGATGGGGAATTCATTTTGAAGACAACTTAGCTTTAAAAAAAAATCAGTTGTAAGGCTTGAACTCAGAGCCTGGGCGCCGTCCCTGAGCTCTCTCCCTCAAGGCTGGCGCTCTACCACTTGAGCCACAGCGCCACGTCTGGTTTTCTGGTGGTTCATTGGAGATCAGAGGCTCATAGACTTTCCTTCCCAGAGCTGGCTTTGAACCACAATCCTCTAGATCTCAGCCTCCTGAGTAGCTGGGATGACAGGCGTGAGCCACTGGCCAGGTCCTGACCCTGAGTATCTTTCATTCCACACCAGCACGTGCTTCTGTTTGGAATTCAGTCTGTAGCATCTGAGCGCTGCATTTCCATCATTGCTTGCAGGAAAGAACCAGTTTGGTTCCGGAACCTTCCAACGGGTACTGCAATAATTATGCAGCTTCTCTGACAGTCTGTCTACCCTCGAGCCTATAATTTCATCAATTTTAGATTTATCTACAATAAAGCGCTCACACAGCATTCGGGCCCGGCCTGCTTACGGTGACGCTCTCAGATTGGAGGAAGATCAAATTTTCCATTAACATTCATACAAATGATAGATTTGAAATGGAAATTTTTACCCAGCGCCAAATTTAGCCACATTTCGAGAGGCCCACAGGTGTTCGCTAAAGAGAGACCAAATATTATTATTATTTTTTCCTGGAGCTCTCCAAGATGAATATCACAATTCCCAAATTCCTTTCTCACCTAAATCAGAACCGAGAGCATTGCAGATTTCCCCTAGAATGATTTGGGTAATGCAGACGGAGAAACAGCGATCGGGAATCCCTTCAAAATGCCTATAACCATTAATTCCCTGACTTCTAGAACATTCCATAATCCGACCCTCTATAGATCTGTTCATTCCAGATTTATTTACAGTAAGCAACTTTGATGGAAGAAACAGCAACAACCAATTTCATGCACGAAGACGGCCCGGTACCTTTGTCCTGGTAAATGTCATTAGTACCAGACTCCTCATTAACGTATTTACAAGGGGCCATAATTGGGTTATCGATTTCTTTCCTGGCTATCACTAATGGAAAGAAATAATAAGCTAATGGAGTCTGTTGCCTGCAAATACTGCACGGAAGTCTTTCTTCTCTTTGAGTGGTTTTACAACCGAATTAACGTTTGCACATAGATCCACCAATACACAATAAAGAATGCCGAAGTCGGGCACTGGTGGCTCCCGCCTGTCATCCCGGCCACTCAGGAGGCTGAGATCGGAGGATTGAGGTTCAAAGCCAGCCCAGGCAGAAAAGTCCATGAGACTTTTATCTCCAATGAACCACCAAAAAACTTAAAACTGGAGTTGTGGCTCAAGTAATAGAGCACCAGCCTTGAGCAAAGAAAAGCTCAGGGAACAGCACCCACCCAGGCCCTGAGTTCAAGTCCCACGACCGACACACACACACACAAAAAGAATACTGGAGTATAAACATTATGTCATTTATGATTCTGTAAGCACATCACTTCTGAGCCAGTTATCTGCGAGGTTGTTCTAGAACAATCTATAGCAACATGATTTCAGAAGTCTAAGGAGTATAGATTTGGTTCTTATGAATGAAGTGTCCTATACCCTCCTTTGCTGACAGGTCAATTGCGTGATTTGGTTATACCTCCTCTTGTACGATCAGGGTCTGATTCTGTTCTTCTAAACAAATACACTTTATCCATAAAGCCCAGACACTATTCGATGGGAAAATCCACCCTGGTGAATGGTGGGTGGATTCTGGTCAGCTCTGTTCACGAACAAATGAAGCATTTCTTTCTCTTTCTACAACTCGCACCTTCGCAGTGCCGTGATCTCTGACTCTTGGAATAAGCCCGTGATCATGACCCTCAGCAAAAGCCGATCCTTTACTTCGTCTTACACTGTTCCTGCAGCGAATCACGTGAGGGGCAAAAAGCAAAATCGCCCAGGTAAGTGACATAACTCTGTGAGTTATCAAGTCGCCAGTATTTCTGTGGATGAAGGAGAATAGACCGGATCCAGGAGCTGGTGGCTCCCGCCTGTCATCCCAGCTGCTCAGGAGGCTGAGATCGGAGGATCATGGGTCAAACTCTTAATTTAAAAAAAAATGTCATTACCTTATGAAATTGCTAAAAGCTCTAGCCATAATGCTAGGTGCTTTCTTTCTTTCTTTCTTTTCTTTCTTTCTTTCTTTCCTTCCTTCTTTCTTTCTTCCTTCCTTCCTTTCTATCTATATTTCTTTCTTTCCTTTCTTTCTTTCTTTCCTTCCTTCCTTCCTTCCTTCCTATCTTTCTTTCTTCTTTCTTTCTTTCCTTCCTTCTTTCTTCCTTTCTTCCTTCCTTCCTTTCTTTCTTTCTTTCCTTCCTCTCTATATTTCTTTCTTTCTTTCTTCCTTTCTTCCTTTCTTTCCTTCCTTCCTTCCTTCCTTCCTTCCTTCCTTCCTTCCTTCCTTCCTTCCTTTCTTTCTTCCTTTCCTTTCCTTCCTTCCTTCCTTCCTTCCTTCCTTCCTTCCTTCCTATCTTTCTTCTTCTTCTTTCCTTCCTTCTTTCTTCCTTTCTTCCTTCCTTTCTTTCTTTCCTTCCTCTCTATCTTTCTTTCTTTCTTTCTTTCTTCCTTTCTTCCTTTCTTATTTTTTGCTGATCCTAAGGCTTGAACTCTGGGCCTAGGCACTGTCCCTGACCTCCTTTAGTTCAAGGCTAGATCTCTACTGCTTGAACCCCAGCTCCATTTAGGACTTTTTTTTCTGTGATCTAATTGGAGATAAGAGTCTCATGGACTTTCTTGCCCTGGCTGGTTTTGAACTGTGATCCTCAGATCGCAGCCTCCTGAGTAGCTGGGATGACAGGCGCGAGCCCCCAGTGGCCAGCTCCCATTCGCCTTCCTCCATTGCCAAGAGTCAGTAAATAATGTTCAGAAAGGGGGAAAAAGACTTGCAGGATTTTAAGATTCCTTTCTGAGAACTAAATTCCTTAGAACTACGTATTTTGCCTTGGTAGCATTTGTTTTTCTGAACACACACACTCACACACACATACACACACACACACACACAGACATGTCTTAGCTTTTCTACTCAGCCTTTCTATTCACTTTTTAAGTTCTTTTTATTGGCTTTTCTTCTCCCAACCAGCATGGGTTTAGTACAAATGCAACATCATCAGTAGAAATCTTTATAGCGATGATAGTTTTACAAGGAATTTCTAAGTAAGGCTTGCATTGTATTAACATTTCAGGAGACGATTGTGAAATATACACTGTTAATTTATTTGTGTCTGTGTGTTGGGCTTGGGGCTTAGACCTGGGGCCTGGGCACTGTTCTTGAACTTTTTTGTTCAAGGCTGGAGCTCTACCACTTGAGCCACAGCTCTACTTCCGGTTTTCTGGTGGTTCCTTGGAAGTAAGAGTCTCACAGACTTTCCTGCCCAGGCTGGCCTTGAACCGTGATCCTCAGATCGCAGCCTCCTGAGTAGCTAGGGTGATAAATGTGAGCTCCTGGTAGCAGGCTACACTGTGGATTTTAAGAGACACTATTGATTTATTCCAACTAGATAAGAAGGCTCAGAACTTTCTTTACTTTTAATGACTCGCTTTGCACTAGATAAACTGCTTCCCCCAAACCCTCGATTTAAATCTCAACCGTGGAGGACAGGAAGACCTTTCCTCCCAAAGAAGTAGGAGTTTGATTGCGATTCTATTGCTAAGAGAAGCCCTTAGGAGGTGATCTGACTTCCCAGCCACCAATCCCGTGGCCCCTGCTTTCGGGCGATGTTCGTTCAACTGAGAAGTTCTCCGGGACCTGAAGAATAGAATGGAACTTTCTCTAGGGTCAGGCAAAGTAGGATAAGGTAGGAAGTGCGCCGCTGGGATTGCTGGGGGGATTGTCTCACGGATGAGTGTGGGGAAGGAGGGACACACAGACGTGTGGGATTCCAGCAGAGAGAAAGAACTTCATCGGAAGATTTCCACTTTAACGAGAGCACTCTTACAGGGCCGTTAAGGTGATCCTGGGGCCGTAGCATTTCTTGTCTCTGCTGAAGATAAGTATGGAAGGAAAGCATCATGAAAACCCTGGTTTTTTTTTTTTTTTTTGCCAGTCCTAGGACTTGAACTCAGGGCCTGGGCGCTGTCCCTGAGCTTCTTTGGCTCAAGGCTGGCGCTCTACCACTTGAGCCACAGCACCACTTCCGGTTTTTTCTGCGTGTGTGGTACTGAGGAATCGAACCCGGGGCTTCATGCATGCTAGGCGAGCACTCAACCACTGAGCCACCTTGCCAGCCCAGCCCTGAGGTTTGAACAGATCAAGTCAAACTTAGAGTCTCCCACCCACGATCGTCCATGTTTAAGAAGCACCTTAAGTTACGAGTGAACAGAAAATACAGCAACTATGAAATGCTTTGTGGGTCCCTAAAAGGATGGAGATATTAGTAGGTTAATTATTTTTATTTAAAATAAGTTTGTCAGTCATGGAGCTTGAACTCAGGACCTGGTTTTGTTTTGTTTTTTCTCTCTCTCTCTCTCTCTCTGAAGGCTGGCGCTCTGCCACTTTGAACCACAGATCCACTCAGTTTTCTGGTGGTTCTTTGGAAATAAGAGGCCAGGTGCTGGTGGCTCCCGCCTCTCATCCCAGCAGCTCAGGAGGCTGAGATCTGAGGATCACGGTTCAAAGCCAGCCCGGGGCAGGAAAGTCCGTGAGACTCTGATCTCCAATGAATCACCAAAAAGCTAGAAGTGGCGCTGTGGCTCAAGTGGTAGAGCGCCAGCCTGGAGTGAAAGAGCTCAGGGACAGCGCCCAGGCCCTGAGTTCAAGCCTCACAATTGACCAAAACCAAAACAACAAAATAACAACAACAACAACAAGAATATTTTCTTCAAAGTTTGGGGTGAATACGAGTCAGCCCAATGCTCTGTTCTTAGCAAATCTATCTTGTAAAAATAGGAATGAATTAAGACATGTCAAGAAGCCAGACCCTGGCCAAATCTTCAGTGAAGGAATTTATGACCAATATATTCTAGAAAGAAAACTGTCAGAAAGTCTGCAATCTCATAAAAGTGGCACACAAATAAATTTGAGAATCTTGGGTCAACCAAACAAACATTGTACGCATGTTGTTTTCTAGATCAGCACGCCATGTTTCAAAGGTTTATTTAAGGATAGGATTAAAATACGAGAGAATAATATGTAAATCAAGAGAATTATGCATCTCAGCATCCATGTTCCTCTGTTGGCCAAGAAGGAAGTTCAGATCAGAAAACTGAGGCTCAAGAAAGTTAAGACCTGGGCTGGGCAGGTGGCTCAGTGGTAGAGCGCTTGCCTTGCATGCCTGAGGCCCTGGGTTCGATTCCCCAGCACCACATAAGCAAAAAGAAAAAAGCTGGAAGTGGCGCTGTGGCTCGAGTGGTAGAGCGCTAGCCTTGAGCTGAAGAGCTGAGGGACAGCGCCCAGGCAGAGTTCAGGCCCCACGACCGGACCCAGAAAAAAAAAAAAAAAAAGAAAGTTAAGACCTTCCCCCAGGCTGACATAGTCCCTCTTCCATTCTTCCTTTTGTTCTAATGACCATAGACATGAGGAAAATCAAGGACAGCAAATTGCTAATTTAGAACACTAGGAATTTGGGAGGGGCTTGTCCTTGGCTAAGCAGAAGAAAACTCAAGAACTTTGTTTTAGTAGTCTTGTCTCTCCAGTTACATCAGACAACATTTCTAAACAAAATGATGCTAGGTGCTGGTGGCTTACGCCTGTCATCCCAGCTACCCAGGAGGCTGAGATCTGAGGATCGTGGTTCAAAGCCAGCCCAGGCAGGAAAATCCATGAGACTCTGATCTCCAATGAACCACCAGAAAACCTGAAGTAGAGCTGTGGCTCAAAGTGGTAGAGCACCAGCTTTGAGCAAAAGAAGCTCAGGGATAGCGCCCAGGCCCTGAGTTCAAGCCCCATGACTGACCACCCCCCCCAAAAAAAAAGCTTACTATATGATAAAACCGAGAAGGACATGTTCCACTGTCCTCTTGCCTAAATTGTGTGACCCAAAAAGAAAATGTCAAAGTGTAAATGGAAAAGGAGGTCTGGCCAAGTGTGGTGGCGAACTCCTATAATCCCAGCTCCATAGGAGGCTGGGATAGGAGAATCGCTGTCTAAGGTAAGCCCTAGGCAAGATCAAGACCTCTATTAGAAAACTAACCTAAAAGCCAAAATATACCTGGACGCCTGACTCAAGGGGTAGAGAGTTTGCCCAACAAGTGTAAATCCCAGAGTTCAAACTCTAGCACTACCAGAAATGAAAAGAAAAAAAAAGGGAATAAAAAGGAAAAAGAAATAAAGAGAAAAGAGGAAAAAGGGGAAGTGAAAAGGGAAAGGAAAATAAAAAGCAAAGAGAAAAGAAGTAAAAAGAAAAAAAGAGAGAGAGAGAAAGGACAAGAAAAAGACAAGAAAAGGGACTGGTGGCAGACATGGAACCTCCGGGCATGGCTGGGCTCTCCCTTCGTTCCAGCCTTCAAGTGTGTGGTTTTCTCCTCCTCGTGGCTGCTTTGGAGGAGAGGTTTGTATGGTAGTGTCTTTAGTACCATAGTTCGGTATTTCCACAAGAACCCATAGCCAGCAAGGCACCCATGGTTCACACCTGTCAGCCTAGCTACTCACAAATTACGGTTACTGCATTTCAGCAGTCTTTCGGGAGTCTTCAAAATACGTGTGCTTTTGCTAAGGAGTGCAAATGTCTGCACATTTGAACAGAATTTTATTGGTGGTGGTGGTGGTGGGGCTTGAACTCAGGGCCTGGGCGCTGTCTCTGAGCTTCTTTGTGCTCAAGGATGGCATTTTGAGCCACAGCTCCACTTCTGGGTTGTTTTATTTGGGGCGGGGGAGGGGATTAGGTTTTTTTGGTGGAGATGAGAGTCTCACAGCCTTTCCTGGCCCAGGCTGGCCTCAAACCGCGATCCTCTACCCCGTCAGCCTCCTGAGTAGCTGGGATGACAGGTGTGAGCCACGGTACTTGTGGCTCTCTTTTTCTTTTAGTGCCATAATAACTCCTTCTCTCGCTCAGGTGCCCTGGCGAAGATCTCACCCCTTCCATCGCCCTGCACCTCTCCAGTCCCGGGCACGCCCGAAACAAGCCCCGGAAGCAAAGTTTCTGCAGAGCAATTTCCAGAAACTGCAGACACCAGGGCCCAACAAGGCCCAGCTCCTCACAAAGCCTTAACCTACACCCAGAGTGCTCCCGACCTGTCCCCTCCAGCCCTGCCTCTGCCCGTCATATGTAGCAGGTGGGCAAAATGGTTTATTGACTTACTGGACTTTCAAGATAACAAACAATAACAGCTTCTCTTACAGCCATGGCTACCCTTCCTCTCCACAGCGTGGGGAGAGAGCGCCCTCTTCCGGTTAACGAGAAAGAGCAATGTACATGACCTGGGTTCAACAGGCTAGGATGGAAACTTTGGTACCTCAGTGTTAATAGAAACGTTAGTCTGTAGGCCATCTATCTGTATCCACTGATCTTTAAAGATGGCACCCAATTCTTAGTTGTGTGTGGGGGCCGCTTGATAGAGAATGCTTTCACCCATCGTTTTAAAAATGGAAGTTGAGTCAGGCACGGGTGGCTCCCGCCTGTCATCCCAGCGACTCAGGAGGCTGAGATCTGAGGATCACGGTTCAAAGCCAGCCCGGGCAGGAAAGTCCGTGAGACTCTGATCTCCAGTGAACACCCAGAAAACCAGAATTGTTATTGCTTTCCACCCAGAGCTCTGCCTTGAGCCGTTCATTTTAGTGAACTTTTTGGTGTGTGCGTAACAAGGAGCGTTTCAAGTCTGATCACTGATGACTCCTGTATTTCCTAAACCTGCTGATGATCACTGAATGTTAGTTGCGCGTGGATATTCAGATCTGGAATACGAGTTCACAGAGGTGGAGATTTTATGACCCTATGCATAAAATTGAGATGCAAGCCACAACTCTTTGTGGAAGTTAAATGTCATTTATCAGCTCATCTTTATTTTTTTTTAACTTCTTTTCCCCCCTGAAATTATTTTTATATGGAAAACCAACTTGGCTTGTCTCTTTATCCAAAAGCAGAGTAGGGCTGGGCAGGTGGCTCAGTGGTAGAGTGCTGGCCTTGCATGCATGAGGCCCTGGGTTCGAGTCCTCAGTACCACCTATACAACTACAACAATAATAATACGAAAGTGGTGTCCACTATCATTCTCCTCTCCAAAGGCTATTCTGTTGCCTTCCATGACAGCTTTATAAAAGTGATTCTATTTTATTTATTTTAGTTTTATTTTAGTTTATTACATTGCTTTACTTTGTTTTACCATATGTTATACTACTTTATTTTACTTTCTGTTGTAACATTATTTTACCTTCCTTTACCTTTATTTCATTACGTGTATATTTCTTTCTTTCTTTCTTTCTTCTTTTGTCAGTCATGGAACGTGAACTTTGGGCCTGAGCACTATTGCTGAGCTCTTCAGCTCAAGGCTGGTGCTCTACCACTTTAAGCCACAGCGCCACTTCCCAGTTTTCTGGTGGTTCATGGGAGAAAAGAGTCTCATGGACTTTCCTGCCTGGGCCGGCTTTGAATGTGATCCTCAGATCTCAGCCTCCTGAGCAGCTGGGATGACAGGCGTGAGCCACCAGCGCCTGGTTACTTTTATATTTTCTATTATATCACTTCATTATGTTATTTTTAATTTTATTTTATTTTAATTACTTTCATTTTATTGTTTTTATGTGTGTTTCTTTTACTACAGTTTTAATTTTATCTCCTTTCCTTTTTTATTTTATACTTCCTTGTATTATTATGTCGTTTTATTTCTTTGCTTTTCTTTTCTTTTTTTTTTTTTTTTTTGATCTTGGGTCCTGAACTCAGGGCCTGGGCGCTGTCCCTCAGCTCTTCAGCTCAAGTCTGGAGCTCTACCACTTGAGCCACAGCGCCACTTCTGGTTTTCTGGTGGTTTATTGGAGATCAGAGTCTCAAGGTCTTTCCCGCCCGGGCTGGCTTTGAACCGGGATCCTCAGATCTCAGCCTCCCGAGTAGCTGGGATGACAGGCGGGAGCCACCGGCGCCCGGCCTTTATTTCATCTTATAGTTGATTTCTTATTTTAAATTTTTTTTATAGTTTTAAAACTTTTTATCTGAAATTTTGTTTTATGTCATTTTACAGCTTTTGAGTTTTTATTTTACAGTGTATTTGAGGTCATTTGTAGTTCTTTTACTTTTTAAACTTGATTTTATTTCATCAAAAATTTTTATTGTGATGACAAAGGTGATGGACAGAGAGGTGACAGTGACATCAGTCGGGCCGTGAGCGCATTGCTCTGTGGACCCTGCCCCCCCGTCCCTCGCTCTCCCCCAGTGTTTCCCTCCCCTCCCCACCCACGAGTGGTAGAGTTCATTCTCCACCTGGTGTCCCGTGAGGACCATGGCTGCCTTGGTTTACCCTTCTGTCCCTCCATATTTTTATTTCATTTTTATTTTTGGATTTCTCCTTATAGCTAGTGTGTGTGTGTGTGTGTGTGTGTGTGTGTGTGTGTGTGTGTGAATGTGTGTGTGTGTGTGTGTGGAGCAGGATGAATGTAATGGGATTTTTTATACAAGAACTTTCAGAGGAAAACACACACACACACACACACACACACACACACACGCGCACACACGCACACACGCAGACAGGAAGGGATTTCACTGAAGTCCACTCGGGTTGCTGCTGGGTATAAATCCAGTAGTGGGTGTTTTATTGCTTGGGCTTCGTAAATCTATAATTCAACCCAGGTTTTATTATTCACTGTGAGTCAGCCACCCAGGGAGCCCCAGACTCTGCCGGAGACACAGCACCACCACGGCCGCGGCTCAGGGCGGCTCCCAGCTCAGAACTTGGCATTGAACTTGAACTTGACGCACTGGGGTGCTGAACTTGCACTTGGCATCGAATCCCAGTCTCTTTGCAACAAGAGTTTTCTTTTTTTTTTTCCTTCTTCTTTTTTTTGTTTTTGTTTTGGCAAAGAAGCAAAGGAGACCCTCACTTAAATAGTCCCTCATTTAACTAGTCCCTGATTCAAATAGTCCCGCATCTAAATGAGGGACATTTAAATAGTCCCTTTGCCATGCAAAAAAAAAAATAATGTGTTCACACTAATAAAGCCAGACTCCACCGGTGTTTGCAGGAAGCTTCTTTTGCCTTCTGTTCTTTTATTCTTGTTGGCATCCCTGAGACAAAATGATGGGATTTTAGTTACCCTTAGGAATAATTCACACAGGTTATGTTTCTCTGCTTACGTGTGTGTGTGTGGGGGGAATGGCTGAAAGATAAATTCACATTGTATAAAGATATTTTCTTTTCCAGCCAGAAAAGGCTTTTTACCCAATGACATGCGCAGATCAATACCACTGTGAGAACCAAATAATGAAACATTTTGGATATGAAACTCAGTTCTTCCCGTCTCCGGGTAGACGGGCTATAGCTAAATGGCAAACAGATGAGAGGGGAAGAATAATAATAAGTTCCTCTGAGATCCTTTTTGTTCTTTTCTTACAGTCAGGCCCAACAAAAGCATCCAGTAGCCCAAAGACACATTAAAATCCAATCATTGAAATGGCCACACAGGAGACGGCTTGAAATGCAGCCTGGCTTTAGGGGCTGGCTCTTTTTAATTATCAACCATCCTCACTGTTGATTAAAAAAAAAAAAAAAGAATAAATAGCTGGCGCTGCGCCAGTGGCTCCCGCCTGTCATCTTAGCGACTCAGGAGGCTGAGATCTGAGGATCAGGGTTCAAAGCCAGCCCAGGCAGGAAAGTCCATGAGACTGTGATCTCCAACAAACCACTCAGAAAACCGGAAGTGGCGCTGTGGCTCAAGTGGTAGAGCGCCAGCCTTGTGCTGAAGAGCTGAGGGACAGCGCCCAGGCCCTGAGTTCAAGCCCCGTGACTGACAAAATGAATGAATGAATTCATTCATTCATTCATTCATTAAACAAACCAACAATGAAAATGAAAAACCTGCATCCCTCCACAGCCTGTATCCATCTCTAACGCCTCTGGAAATGACCCATTGACCAGTTTTCTTCAGTCAGAATTATTCCCGCTCAATCCCACATTTCTGCTCCTTCACAATGTTCCTGAAGGTGTAACTATGGCCGGGCACCGGTGGCTCCCGCCTGTCATTCCCGCTACTCAGGAGGCTGAGATCTGAGGATCCCGGTTCAAAGCCAGCCCGGGCAGGAAAGCCCGTGAGACTTTTATCTCTAACAAAACACTAGAAAACTGAAAGTGGCGCCGTGGCTCAAGTGGTAGAGCACCAGCCTTGAGTGAAAGAGCTCAGGGACAGCGCCCAGGCCCTGAGTTCAAGTCCCAGCACTGGACAAAAAAAAAAATAACATTTTATTTCTAATATTTCTCAGTTGTGGTAGACCGTATTCCCAAAAGAGCACTGCTGGAGGAGCCGGAGAACCAGACAGGGGAGCCCCCCGGACCCCGAACAGGACAGGTAACCCTAAATCTTTATTCCACTCCGCATAATCACAATGCTTCTCCTTTTGCTTTTTCCTGAATAGCCGAAGTCAGCTATCTTCCTGAATTAGTGGATCTGTGGCTCAAGCAGTAGAGTGTTAACCTTGAGCCAAGAAGCTCATGGACAGTGTCCAAGCCCTGAGTTCAAGTCTCAGGACTGGCCTCCCCCCAAACAAACAAAATCATAGTGAAGTATTGGTGTAATGCTTTTCACCATGTTTCCCCAGCTGTGCACACCTGGGTTAAGTGAGTTGTATAATACCTGAACTGCACAACACACAGACCTCAAAGCCAGGTGCCAGTGGCTCACAGCTGTCATCCCAGCCATTCAGGAGGCTGAGATCTGAGGACCATGGTTTGAGGCCAGGCCGGACAGGAAAGTCCATGAGACTCTGATCTCCAATGAACCACCAGAAAACCAGAAGTGGTGCTGTGACTCAAGTGGTAGAGCACCAGCCTTGAGCATAAAAGCAGCTCAGGGACTCAGGGCCTGGGCGCTGTCCCTCAGCTCTTCAGCTCACGGCTAGTGCTCTACTGCTTGAGCCACAGCGCCACTTCTGGCTTTTTCTGCTTTATGTGGCGCTGAGGACTCGAACCCAGGGCCTCATGCATGCGAGGCGAGCGCTCTACCACTGAGCCACCGTCCCAGCCCAAGTGTGACATGTTGGAGGCCCCCATGGCCGTGGGCAATGCTGGCCCTGTCTCGGGCCTCCTGATGGGCTCTGGTCCTTCCTTTGCAGATGACACGGCCCAGGTCACATCTGACTATGACACCAACAACAACAGCGACAGCAGCGACATTGTCCAGAACGAAGAGGAGGCAGGGGTCCCCAGGGAGCCCCCCAGAGAGGCCGCGGCCCGGGGCAGCCCCTTCCCTGCAGAGGCCATGCTGTTCCTGGTGAGCCGGGGTACACCATCGGCCCACCTGCACCCCCCCTCCCCCCGTAGGGGCCTCCACCTCCGCCCCAGCCCGGCCTGGGCTGGCTCTTTGGGGTTCTGTTGTTTGGGGATGGAAAGCGTTTAAGAAATCTTCATCCTTGCTCGAAGATGCAAATAGGCATGGGGGAGATGAATATGTTGTTGTGTTAATAGTTTAGAAGGGAGGGAGGGAGGGAGGGAGGGAAAAGACAAGAAGAAGGAAGGAAAAAAGAAGGAAGGGAGAGAGGGAGGGAAGGAGGGAGAGAGGGAAAAGAAGAAAGAAGGAAGGAAAGAAGGAAGGAGAGGGAGGGAGGAAGGAAGGAAGGAAGGAAGAGAGGGAGGGAGGGAGGGAAAAGACAAGAAGGAAGGAAGGAAAGAAGGAAGGAAGGGAGAGAGGGAGGAGGGAAAAGACAAGAAGAAGGAAGGAAGGAAAGAAGGGAGGAAGGAAAGAAGGAAGGAAGGAAGGAAGGCAGGAAAGAAGAGAGGAGGGAAAGGAGGTAGAGAAAGATGGAGAAAGGGAAGGAGAAAAAGGAGGGGAGAGGAAGAGAAGAGAAAGGAGAGGAGAGGAGGAGAGGAAGGGGAGAGGGGAGGGGAAAGGAAAGAAGAAAAGAATAAAGGAGAGGAGAGGGAGGAGGAGAGGAAGGAAAGAGGAGAGGAGAGTTTTCTTAGAGCATCTGTTTGCTGTAGCATGTACTTGATTTACAAAAGGAACCAGTGTTCCTCTTCCTGATAAACCACAGTGTATCGACACTTGCTAAATACTAAAATTACCTTTTGATGTGTGTGTGCCAGTCCTGGGGCTTGAACTCTGGGCCTGGGCGCTGTCCCTCAGCTCTTCAGCTCAAGACTGGCGCTCTACTACTTGAGCCACAGTGCCACTTCCGGCTTTCTGGTGGTTCATGGGAGAGAAGCATCCCACGGACTTTCCTGCCCAGGCTGGCTTTGAACCGTGATCCTCCGATCTCAGCCTCCTGAGCAGCTGGGATGACAGGCGGGAACCAGCAACACCTGAATCCCCACCAGCTTCAATGTGCATTTTCATAATCCATGCATCTTAGTAAACGGCGGATCAAAAGCTCAGTTAAATTTCCCGTCTGTATAACAGTTTTCTTCTGCAGAATTCATAGAGCCTTGCCGCCTGACTCTGTAAAGTCAGTTGAGATGCTGCTTTCCCTCATGATTCCTTGCTTTCTTTCAAGAGTCCCATATAAGCCAGAAGCCCCTGATCTCTGAAAACATTTCCTAAATCTAGAAAGAGGTGGGCTTGCATGTCACTTCCCACTATCCTTTGAGTCTTGGTTGAGGAAGTTCGCAACAAACCCAAGGTAGTTTTAGTAGCTTCTGGAAAAAGTGTCTCCGTTTTGCTCACGCTGTTATAAATATAAGGTTACATATAAATATAATAAAACCACTGGAGTCACCCCAATAGCAAAATCCACTTCTGCAGAAAGCTGTGGTCATCAGCCAGAAATCTGCTCAGCAAGCACCCAGAGCAGGCTGGCCACTCCCCTATTTATACCTCCCACAGCAGGCCCCACCCCTCTGCTCAGATTGGCTGAGCTCAGGTGCACAATCTGCTCATGATTGGCTAGTTTGAGTAGACTAAGATCTATTTACATAAGGTGATCCCTAACAGCAGGCCCCGCCCCTCTGCTTGGATTGGCTGAGCTCAGGTGCACAATCTACTTGTGATTGGCTAGTTTGAATAGACTAAGGTCTATTTACATAAGGGTATCCCTAACAGCAGGTCCCGCCCCTCTGCTCGGATTGGCTGAGCTCAGGTTTGTAATCTGCTTGTGATTGGCTAGTTTGAATAGACTAAGGTCTATTTACATAAGGTTATCTCTAACAGCAGGTCCCACTCTTCTGCTCGGATTGGCTGAGCTCAGGTGCACAATCTGCTCATGATTGGCTAGTTTGAGTAGACTAAAATCTATTTACATAAGGTGATCCCTAACAGCAGGTCCCGCCCCTCTGCTCGGATTGGCTGAGCTCAGGTGCACCATCTGCTTGTGATTGGCTAGTTTGAATAGGGTAAGATCTAGTTACACAAAGTGACTTTGAAATAAGATGAACAGGAGTCATCTCAAAATATAACTCACACCCTCCGCTATTTCTTGAACAGTCTGGGGTGTGCTATAATTCCATCTTGAAAAGAAACCAGTTCAAGACAATAAACCTTACATTTTGCATTTTTTTTCTTATTCCAAAGCAGTTTCTCTTTTCCCTAACAAAAGCCAAGCTCCCCAGGCCAAAGCAGGAAATTTGAAGCAATACACGTTGATAGAAAAGACAGTTTCCACACAAAGTTGTAAGTGAGGGACCGGCAGGTACCCCAAAACTTCACTGCCGCCCACTTCATTCTGTGTCAGTATCTTGTTTATCTTTACTGTATTTGTTTCTTAAGATCCATCCTGGTGAGCCAGGCACCCGTGGCTCACACATTTAATCCCAGCTATTCAGGAGACTGAGATGATGGTTCAAAGCCAACCCGGGCAAGAAAGTCAGTGAGACTCTTATTCCCAATTAACCAGAAAAAAGAACTGGAAGTGGAGCTGTGGTTCAAGTGGTAGAGCACTAGTTTTGAGCCAAAAATAAAAATAATAAAAAAAATAAAAAAGCTCAGGGACAGCACCTAGGTCCTGAGATCAAGCCCCAGGACTACCACTAGATAGATAGATAGATAGATAGATAGATAGATAGATAGATAGATAGATAGATAGATAGATAGATAGATAGATAGATAGAGGTTCACCCTTCACCCTAGAGTTTTGCATTGTTTACTTCAGATAATGACAGTTGCTGATTGACTGTTTCAAGACAGGATTTGTTTTGGAGAAAAAGCACCTATTCTTAATGTCATTTAATCTCTCTTTCAGGACAAACCGATTCTTGCCCCTGAGCCTCTCATCATGGATAATCTGGGTTCAATAATGGACCAGCTAAACACCTGGAATTTCCCTATTTTTGATTTAGTGGAAAATATAGGAAGAAAATGCAGCCGTATTCTCAGCCAGGTAAGAAACGCGTCCTACCCGTTTAACAGCACAGAGAGGTACAATGAGTGGTTCGTGGCTGTAAGAAGGTTCCAGTTCTTCTTGGCCATGGGGGGGATGAGAAGTTGTGGGGAGAAGGGAAATGATCAACAGGCAGAGAGACATCGCTGCCTGGAGCTGGTGGCTCACATCTGACAGCCCAGCAATTCAGCAAAGCTGAGATAGGAGGATCGCGGTTCTAAGCCAGCCAGGCGCGATCAGGAGGCAATCTGGTGGCTCTCCAGTTGATCAGGGAAAAGCTGGGAGTGGAGATGTGCTAGAATGCTCATCTCGTGTGCAGAAGCAAAGGGAAAATGAATGCCCTGGTCTTGAGTTCAAATTTTACTACTGATGCACACAAATACAGTGTGACCAATGGGGTTTGCCATTTTCCATCCAGTGTTACTTTTGTGTCCGCCATATGCAATGGATGCGTTGTAGGGTGGTGTGTGATGAGCTGATTGTGTCTTTGTCTCCCTTTGCTAGGTCTCCTACAGACTTTTTGAAGACATGGGCCTCTTCGAAGCCTTTAAGATTCCAGTGAGAGAATTCATGAATTATTTTCACGCGTTGGAGATTGGATACCGAGACATTCCTTGTAAGTAGAAGCCATTTGGGAGGGGACAGTTCTAATAAGATCCAATCTACCCTGAGGGGTAGGGAGAGTTTGTAGGGGAGGAAGCTGGTGAATCGTTAGGAGCCATCTAAACATCACAAGTGGGCAAGATCCTCAGTAGGACCGTCAGTGATAAGGGGCTGTGGCCTGTGTTGGAGCCTGGATCCTTCATTAACAGCTGGGCTTAATTACATCCCCCTACTTTTCCTCCCCAACCCCTACTCATTTCTTAATCCAGAAACCGGAGAGATCATCCTGTTTGCTCATTGTTCGAATTTAAGTCCCTTCGAATCTCTCAGCTGTTAGGATCAAATGTTATAATAACTCTGTGTATGTGGGCATGTACACATGTGTGTACACCAGAACCGGGAACTAGTCCTGGGATTTGAACTCAGGGCCTAGGTGCCCTGAATTTTCACTCAAGGCTGGTGCTCTACCACTTTGAGCCACAGCTCCACTTCTGGTTTTCTGGTGGTTCATGGGAGATAAGAGTTTCACAGACTTTCCTGCCCAGGCTGGCTTTGAACCATGATCCTCAGATCTCAGCCTCCTGAGTTGCTGGGATGTCAGGCGTGAGCTACTGTACAGGGCAGTCCCATTGTTGGCCTTGGAGTAGAATGGCACCACATAAACCAATCGTAATAGGAAGGGAGAATTCAATCTGCCCCTGAGATTTGCAGGAAAATATAGAACCCAAGGCAGAAAAAAATTGGACCACTGGGGTAAGGGAGAAAAAATTTTTTTGTAAAAAAGGAGTTTAAGAATCCTAGGATCTCTTGAGAAAGTTTGGTGGCTGAAGCCATGGATGAAGAGATACGAAACAGGGTTTGTTTGAAAGGAACTCAAGATAAGCTTTGCTTGCTTTAATGCGATTTTTCCCAAGGCTGAGTGCCAACCATCGCCCTAAGTGTTCCAGTGATTTCTGAAAGGTTAAGAAGTTACGTAAATAAACTAGCACAGGCAGGAAGCCACTGAGCACTCTTAAAGACCCGCTAGTCACTGGCTGTAATTTCCAAGCTGGTGTTATCTTTCCCTGTGAATTGATTTATCTGTCTCAGGAAAGCACTGGAGTTGGATCGCTTTTAAATCAGAACTCCGCCATGCATGGGTGGGGTTTTACATGTGGACCAAGGGGCATGTAGTCAGGAAGGAGCCTTCCTTCTTGTTTGTGATAATGAATGTGTGTCGGCATCTCACGGCCTGTTGAATGACTTTACCGTGTGTTCCTAAAAGAATTTTTCTTTAAATGGATCTGTGTGAATAAATCCAGAATTAATTGAGGGAAAAAAAAAGCCACACAGAAGTGCTAAAATGAAAATTGGGTGGAATCCACTTCCATAACACACTAAGATATTAGAAGTGAAATTTGTTTCATAATGGCATCTGGAAAAGGACTTTTTTTTTTTTAAAGAGAAAAGGGGAAATGCAAAAGCTTCTTAAATGTCTAAGTGGAAGGTTGAGTAAACATTAAATTGTCTCAATTTAGATGTAAAAAATAAAGAAGCCAAGAGCTGGTGGCTCACGCCTGTCAGCCCAGTTACTCAGGAGGCTGAGATCTGAGGATCCAGGTTCAAAGCCAGCCTGGGCAGGAAAGTCCATGAGACTCTGATCTCCAAGGAAACACCAGAAAACCAGAAGTGGAGCTGTGGCTCAAGTGGTAGAGCACCAGCCTTGAGCAGAAGCAGCTCAGGGACAGCGCCCGGGCCCTGAGTTCAGATCCTACAACAACAACAACACAAATCTGTTCTCTCTAGGGACTTGTCATCATCTTATTCTGAAATTGGCACTGTTCGTATCTGCATATTTTTCAGATAAGAAATGAGACATTCCATCTGTTTTCTTTTCAAGATAAGAAAATGACCCTTCAGTAACTTACTCACAAGTGTCAGAACAGGGACAAAAGCAGACATTTGTCCTAACTGTAGAGGAAAACCAAAATCCAGCCTCTCTTAAAGGCTCCCCAAGGATCTAGATTGCTTTCCAAAAAAAAAAACTACAGGGCATTTTTGTTGTTGTTGTTTCTTTTCTTTTTTGCCAGTCCTGGGGCTTGAACTCACGGCCTGGGCGCTGTCCCTGAGCTTCTTTTGCTCAAGGCTAGCGCTCTACCACTTGAATCACAGCACCACTTCTAGCTTTTTTTGTGCATGTGGTGCTGAGGAATCGAACCCAGGGCTTCATGCATGCGAGGCAAGCACTCTACCACTGAGCCACCTGCCCAGCCCTATAGTTATAATCATGCTAAGTGATATAAGTTAGATTCAGAGAGACAAACGCACGCATTTTTCTCTTCTATGAAAATCTATGCAAATATATTTTGCATATATTCATAAACAAAGGTTTTTTTTTTTTTTTTTGGTGCTGATCCTGGGCTTGAACTCAGGGCCTGGGCGCTGTCCCTGAGCTGCTTTTGCACAAGGCTAGTGCTCTACCACTTGAGCCACAGCGCCACCTCTAGATTTTTTCTTTTTTGATGGTTGATTGGAGAAAGTCTTTCCTGCTTAGACAGGCATTGTGCTGTGATCCTCAGATCTCAGCCTCCAGAATCACTTTTCTATTTAGGTTTTTTTAATGGTTTTTAATGGACATCATTACGCTATTTGTTTTTTAGGTGTAGGAATAGAACATTTTAGTGGGTGTCATTATACTATTTTCATAGGCCTACAAATAGATGCCTAGAAAGAAAGAAATATATAATATCCACCACCCATCTTCCTGCCCTCCTCTCCCCCCCCACCGATTTTACCCGATGCTGACTGGTCCCTCTGCTTGGTTTCAGATCACAACCGAGTTCACGCTACAGACGTGCTGCATGCAGTGTGGTACCTGACCACGCAGCCCATCCCCGGCCTGGCCACGGTGCTCAGCGACCACGGTGCGCCCGGCGATGCAGGTACGTGGCCCCGCCCTGGCCCTCTCCCCGGTGCCCGGGGAAGAGGCCGAGGCACAAGATAGCTTCATCTGTATCTACATACATATTACCTCTATATCTGTATCTGTCTCTGAGTCAACATCGATCTATCGTCTATCTATCCATCCATCCATCATCCACTCACCAACTCATCCATCCACCATCCACCCACCCACCAACTCATCCATCCATCCATTCAACCACCCACCAACTCATCCATCCATCCATCCATCCACCTACCTACCCATCCATCCATCCATCCGTCCACCCACCAACTTATCCATCCATCTCTACCCATCCATCTACCCACCACCCACCATCCACCATCCATCCACCCACCCATCCACCAACTCATCCATCCATCCATCCATCCATCCATCCATCCATCCACCCACCCACCAACTCATCCATCTATCCATTCAACCACCCACCAACTCATCCATCCATCCACCTACCTACCCATCCATCCACCCACCAACTCATCCATCCATCCATCCACCTACCTACCCATCCATCCATCCATCCGCCCACCCACCAACTTATCCATCCATCTCTACCCATCCATCCACCCACCACCATCTACCATCCATCCACCCATCCAACAACTCATCCATCCATCCATCCACCCACCCATCCACCAACTCATCCATCCATCCATCCATCCATCCATCCATCCATCCATCCATTCATCCATCCATCCACCTTCCACCATCCACCCATCCATCCACCAACTCATCCATCCATCCATCCACCCACCAACTCATCCATCCATCCACCTACTTACCCATACATCTATCCACCCACCCATCCATCCACCATCCATCCATCCATCCATCCATCCACCCACCCACCCACCCACCCATCCATCCATCTATCCATCCATCTACTTATATATCCACCCACTTACCTACCTGTCTATCCATCTACCTGCCGATTCATCTATCCATCGATCAATCGCTCTATGTATCCATTTATCCATCTATCCATTCTCTAATAGCTATAGCTATATATGATATAGATATATATTAGATATATATCTATAAATATATTTAACTAAATCAAGTACTAATACAATTTAAAACTTACATATTATGTATACTGGCCTATGTATTTATAAATACCTATGAAATATGGATAAATATGGATTTATATTTATTATATATATATTTATTAGTTTTCCTCCCTAAAATGCGAGGTCGAGCTGCGCCCTGCCTGTGATCCCCGCTCCTCAAGAGGCTGGGATCTGAGGCTCGCGGGTTCGAGGCCAGCCCGGGCTGGAGAGTCCGGGAGCCTGGGTTGGGCCGGCCTCCGCCAGGCCACGCCCCTCGCTCATGCCAGGCCCGCCCCTCCCCACCCCGGCTCCAACCAGCCACGCCCCTAGCAGCCCTGGCCCCACCCCTTCACGCCCCGCCCTCTCGGCCCCACCCCCTTACTCCCAGGCCCCGCCCCCGCTCAGCTCTGCCCCGCCCCTCCTGGCCCCGCCCCCGCTCAACTCTGCCTACCCCTCCTGGCCCCACCCCTCCTGGCCCCGCCCCCGCTCAGCTCTGCCCCGCCCCTCCTGGCCCCGCCCCCGCTCAGCTCTGCCCCGCCTCTCCTGGCCCCGCCCCCGCTCAGCTCGGCCCCGCCCCCTTACTCCCAGGCCCCGCCCCTGCTCCACTCTGCCCCGCCCCTCCTGGCCCCGCCCCCGCTCAGCTCTGCCCCTCCTGGCCCCGCCCCCGCTCCGCTCTGCCCCGCCCCTCCTGGCCCCGCCCCCGCTCCGCTCGGCCCCTCCTGGCCCCGCCCCCGCTCAGCTCGGCCCCGCCCCTCCTGGCCCCACCCCCGCTCAGCCCTGCCCCGCCCCTCCTGGCCCCGCCCCCGCTCCGCTTGGCCCCGCCCCTGCTCCGCTCTGCCCCGCCCCTCCTGGCCCCGCCCCCGCTCAGCTCGGCCCCGCCCCTCCTGGCCCCGCCCCCGCTCAGCTCGGCCCCGCCCCTCCTGGCCCCGCTCACCCCCCCCCCCCCTGTGCGCAGACGCAGAGGCGCTGGCGCGCGGGCGGATGGGCTTCGTGTCGTCGCGGATGCTGGGCGCGCAGGACGCGCGCTACGGGAGCCTGTGCGGGAACATCCCCGCGCTCGAGCTCATGGCGCTCTACGTGGCGGCCGCCATGCACGACTACGACCACCCCGGCCGCACCAACGCCTTCCTCGTGGCCACCGGCGCGCCCCAGGTACGCGGGCGGGCGGGCCAGAGAGGGGTGCGGGGCGGGCCAGAGAGGGGCGGGGCGGGCCAGAGAGGGGCGGGGCGGGGCCAGAGAGGGGTGCGGGGCGGGCCAGAGAGGGGTGCGGGGCGGGCCAGAGAGGGGTGCGGGGCGGGCCAGAGAGGGGCGGGGCGGAGCCAGAGAGGGGCGGGGCGGGCCAGAGAGGGGCGGGGCCAGAGAGGGGCGGGGCGGGGCCAGAGAGGGGGGCGGGGCGGGGCCAGAGAGGGGGGCGGGGCAGGCTAGAGAGGGGCGGGGCGGGGCCAGAGAGGGGCGGGGCGGGCCAGAGAGGGGCGGGGCGGGGCCAGAGAGGGGGGCGGGGCAGGCTAGAGAGGGGCGGGGTGGGCCAGAGAGGGGCGGGGCAGGCTAGAGAGGGGCGGGGCGGGCCAGAGAGGGGCGGGGCAGGCTAGAGAGGGGCGGGGCGGGCCAGAGAGGGGCGGGGTGAGCCAGAGAGGGGCGGGGCGGGGCTAGAGAGGGGTGCGGGGCAGGCTAGAGAGGGGCGGGGCGGGCCAGAGAGGGGCGGGGCGAGCCAGAGAGGGGCGGGGCGAGCCAGAGAGGGGCGGGGCGGGCCTAGAGAGGGGTGCGGGGCAGGCTAGAGAGGGGCGGGGCAGGCTAGAGAGGGGCGGGGCGGGGCTAGAGAGGGGTGCGGGGCAGGCTAGAGAGGGGCGGGGCGGGCCAGAGAGGGGCGGGGCGGGGCCAGAGAGGGGTGCGGGGCGGGCTAGAGAGGGGGGCGGGGCGGGGCCAGAGAGGGGTGCGGGGCAGGCTAGAGAGGGGCGGGGCAGGCTAGAGAGGGGCGGGGCAGGCTAGAGAGGGGCGGGGCGGGGCCAGAGAGGGGTGCGGGGAGGGGCCAGAGAGGGGCGGGGCAGGCTAGAGAGGGGCGGGGCCGGCTAGAGAGGGGCGGGGCAGGCTAGAGAGGGGTGCGGGGCGGGCTAGAGAGGGGCGGGGCAGGGCCAGAGAGGGGCGGGGCGGGGCCAGAGAGGGGTGCGGGGCGGGCTAGAGAGGGGGGCGGGGCGGGGCCAGAGAGGGGTGCGGGGCAGGCTAGAGAGGGGCGGGGCGGGCTAGAGAGGGGCGGGGCAGGCTAGAGAGGGGCGGGGCAGGCTAGAGAGGGGCGGGGCAGGCTAGAGAGGGGCGGGGCGGGGCTAGAGAGGGGCGGGGCGGGGCTAGAGAGGGGTGCGGGGCAGGCTAGAGAGGGGCGGGGCGGGCCAGAGAGGGGCGGGGCGGGGCCAGAGAGGGGTGCGGGGCGGGCTAGAGAGGGGGGCAGGGCCAGAGAGGGGTGCGGGGCAGGCTAGAGAGGGGCGGGGCGGGCTAGAGAGGGGCGGGGCAGGCTAGAGAGGGGCGGGGCAGGCTAGAGAGGGGCGGGGCGGGGCCAGAGAGGGGCGGGGAGGGGCCAGAGAGGGGCGGGGCAGGCTAGAGAGGGGCGGGACAGGCTAGAGAGGGGGGCGGGGCAGGCTAGAGAGGGGCGGGGCGGGCTAGAGAGGGGCGGGGCAGGCTAGAGAGGGGCGGGGCAGGCTAGAGAGGGGCGGGGCAGGCTAGAGAGGGGCGGGGCGGGGCCAGAGAGGGGCGGGGCAGGCTAGAGAGGGGCGGGGCGGGGCTAGAGAGGGGCGGGGCAGGCTAGAGAGGGGCGGGGCGGGCCAGAGAGGGGCGGGGCGGGGCCAGAGAGGGGTGCGGGGCGGGCTAGAGAGGGGGGCGGGGCGGGGCCAGAGAGGGGGGCGGGGCAGGCTAGAGAGGGGCGGGGCGGGCTAGAGAGGGGCGGGGCAGGCTAGAGAGGGGCGGGGCGGGGCCAGAGAGGGGCGGGGAGGGGCCAGAGAGGGGCGGGGCAGGCTAGAGAGGGGCGGGACAGGCTAGAGAGGGGGGCGGGGCAGGCTAGAGAGGGGCGGGGCAGGCTAGAGAGGGGCGGGGCGGGGCTAGAGAGGGGTGCGGGGCAGGCTAGAGAGGGGCGGGGCGGGCCAGAGAGGGGCGGGGCGGGGCCAGAGAGGGGTGCGGGGCGGGGCCAGAGAGGGGCGGGGAGGGGCCAGAGAGGGGCGGGGCAGGCTAGAGAGGGGCGGGACAGGCTAGAGAGGGGGGCGGGGCAGGCTAGAGAGGGGCGGGGCAGGCTAGAGAGGGGCGGGGCGGGGCTAGAGAGGGGTGCGGGGCAGGCTAGAGAGGGGCGGGGCGGGCCAGAGAGGGGCGGGGCGGGGCCAGAGAGGGGTGCGGGGCGGGGCCAGAGAGGGGTGCGGGGCGGGGCCAGAGAGGGGTGCGGGCGGGGGGGGGGGTTGTCAACGTGGGGCGTCGGCCATGACACTCCGGAACCGCGCACGCACACCCGGGCGCACCCCTCCTGCACGGATCGGAGGCCGGCGGGGCTGTGCGGCTGCGGGGCTGCGCGGCTGCGGGGCTGTGCGGCTGCGGGGCTGCGGGGCTGCGGTGCTGTGCGGCTGCGGGGCTGTGCGGCTGCGGGGCTGCGCGGCTGCGGGGCTGTGCGGCTGCGGGGCTGCGGGCTGCGGGGCTGTGGGCTGCGGGGCTGTGCGGCTGCGGGGCTGCGGGCTGCGGTGCTGTGCGGCTGCGGGGCTGCGGGCTGCGGGGCTGCGGGGCTGTGCGGCTGCGGGGCTGCGGTGCTGTGCGGCTGCGGGGCTGCGGGCTGCGAGGCTGTGCGGCTGCGGGGCTGCGGGGCTGCGGGGCTGCGGTGCTGTGCGGCTGCGGGGCTGCGGGCTGCGGGGCTGCGGGGCTGCGGGGCTGCGGGGCTGCGGGCTGCGGGGCTGCGGGGCTGCGGTGCTGTGCGGCTGCGGGGCTGCGGGCTGCGGGGCTGCGGGGCTGCGGTGCTGTGCGGCTGCGGGGCTGCGGGCTGCGGGGCTGTGCGGCTGCGGGCTGCGGGGCTGTGCGGCTGCGGGCTGCGGGGCTGTGCGGCTGCGGGGCTGCGGGCTGCGGGGCTGCGGGGCTGCGGTGCTGTGCGGCTGCGGGGCTGCGGGCTGCGGGGCTGTGCGGCTGCGGGCTGCGGGGCTGTGCGGCTGCGGGCTGCGGGGCTGTGCGGCTGCGGGGCTGCGGGCTGCGGGGCTGTGCGGCTGCGGGGCTGTGCGGCTGCGGGGCTGCGGGCTGCGGGGCTACGGGCTGCGGGGCTGCGGGGCTGTGCGGCTGCGGGGCTGCGGGGCTGCGGGGCTGCGGGCTGCGGGGCTGCGGGGCTGCGGGCTGCGGGCTGCGGGGCTGCGGTGCTGTGCGGCTGCGGGCTGCGGGCTGCGGGGCTGCGGGGCTGCGGGCTGTGCGGCTGCGGGCTGCGGGGCTGTGCGGCTGCGGGCTGCGGGGCTGTGCGGCTGCGGGCTGCGGGGCTGCGGTGCTGTGCGGCTGCGGGCTGCGGAGCTGCGGGGCTGTTCGGCTGCGGGCTGCGGGGCTGCGGGGCTACGGGCTGCGGGGCTGCGGGGCTGCGGGCTGCGGGGCTGTGCGGCTGCGGGGCTGCGGGGCTGTGCGGCTGCGGGGCTGCGGGGCTGCGGGCTGTGCGGCTGCGGGCTGCGGGGCTGTTCGGCTGCGGGCTGCGGGCTGCGGGGCTGCGGGCTGTGCGGCTGCGGGGCTGCGGGGCTGTGCGGCTGCGGGGCTGCGGGCTGCGGGGCTGCGGGGCTGTGCGGCTGCGGGGCTGCGGGCTGCGGGGCTGTGCGGCTGCGGGGCTGTGCGGCTGCGGGCTGCGGGCTGCGGGGCTGCGGGCTGCGGGGCTGTGCGGCTGCGGGGCTGTGCGGCTGCGGGGCTGTGCGGCTGCGGGGCTGCGGGCTGCGAGGCTGTGCGGCTGCGGGGCTGCGGGCTGCGGGGCTGCGGGGCTGTGCGGCTGCGGGCTGCGGGGCTGTGCGGCTGCGGGGCTGTGGGGCTGCGGGGCTGTGCGGCTGCGGGGCTGCGGGCTGCGGGGCTGCGGGGCTGTGCGGGCTGCGGGGCTGTGCGGGCTGCGGGGCTGCGGGGCTGTGCGGCTGCGGGCTGCGGGGCTGCGGGCTGCGGGGCTGTGCGGCTGCGGGCTGCGGGCTGCGGGGCTGTGCGGCTGCGGGGCTGTGCGGCTGCGGGCTGCGGGCTGCGGGGCTGCCAGGCCCGGCGCGGGGTCCCGCCCCGCACCCCAGCCCCGCGGATGCGGTGGATGGCAACTGGAGGCCAGCGTGGGCAGCGAAGTTGGGGGCGCGGTCGCCCCCCGCGGTCCGGGGACTCACAGTGCGGAGCCGCCTCGGACCCAGGCGTGAGACCCGCTGTGCGCACGGACAGAAGAAGCGCCAGCCCCAGAACACGGGAGCCCGGGTTCAAGTGGCCTAGCCCCGGTCAGGAGCAAGGCAGCGAGTTCGAATCCCTGTCCCCCAGACAGAATGCAAGGATTCTCTAAACACAAGTTCTACTTTTGGGGGAATATCAGCATTTCCACAGCAAGTTACCACGCCTCAGATAGCAGCATGGTTATCATCCCACCGTTATTTTATGTCTGTATATCCCTACATAACTGTCTGTCTTCCCAGTCTGTCTACCAGCCTAGCCAGTCTGTCAGTCTGTCTGTCAGTCTATCTATCCATCCATCCATCTCTCTACTCTCTCTACCTGTCTGTGTATCTACTTGCCCGTCTGTCTAGTCTATCTACCTACCTGTCTGTCTTATCTATCTGTATGTCTATCTACCTATCTTCTGCCTGTGTATCTACCTGTCTGTCTTCCTGTCTGTCTGTATAGTCTTATCTACCTACCTACCTGTCTGTATCTATCTAGTCCATCTCTCTACCTGTCTGTCTGTCTGTCTATTCTATCTACCTGTCTGTCTATCTACTTGTCTATCTAGTCTACTTGTCTGTCTGTCTGTCTACCTCTGTGTATCTACCTGTCTGTCTACCTGTCTATCTAGTCTTTCTACTGACCTGTCTATTTGTCTGTCTAGCTAGCTAGCTATCTACCTGTCTTCTGTCTTCCTTAAGAACAAATGAGTTTCAATTCAGCTTGTCAGTTGATGAGGGCAATGCATTTTCATTAGTGTCACCTCTTCTATTTTAAACCCCCCCCCCCAGGTTGAGAGAAACTGTATCAATTTATTTCATTCATTTAGGGAGGGAATTTTTCTTTTTACCCAGAATATGACTTCCAACAGATTCCCAAACCACTGAGTCGCTCTGTATTGCTTTTTAAGTGGCTTTAGTGTATACTGAAGTCGGAATGTAAAGTGGCTAAAGTGAGTGGACGCATTTCCACCCACTCCAGGGAGTTCTCGTCAGAACCTCTGTGATCAAACAGCTGGACAAAGTCCAGGCACCTCTGGAGAGTTCCTCCTCCCCTGAGAAAGCGGAGGCCGGTCCGGCTCCCTGTCTTTATCCTTTGTCACACTCTTCTATGTTTCCACATTTCTCTTCTGTGTCGTAGAATTTTCCTGAGCTCTCTAGATAAAGAAAGAAGGATCCCGATTGCAGATAAAGGAAGAGAAATAGGGCAGGATGCTGTAGTCGTAAAACCCAATGCATATATTCTACAAAACGATGAGAATTGAGGGGAAGGAGGGGGGTGAGAATGTGGAAAGGGGAGACAAGGATGGAGATGACTTATGGCAGCTCCCTTGTACAACTACTTAAAGATAAAGCAATGAAAACAATAGAATATCCCACTTTCCCCAGAAATACCCCCTCTATCCCTTCCCCCCCATGTATCCTGCAGAGAATTCCAGTTCATTTTCCTAATTGACCATCCAGGTTTTCCTACACGTATCTCGATTTTCTTTGTGTGTGTGTGTGTGTCAGTGGTGGGGCTTGAACTCAGGACCTGGGCGCTGTCCCTGAGCTTTCTCACTCCAGGCTGGTGCTCGACCACTCGAGCCACACCTCCACTGCCCAGCATTTTTGCTAGTTAATTAAGATTCCAGTGGATTCTTTTGTTTTCTACCGGGGCTGGCTTTGAATCTCGATCCTTAACATCTCAGCCTCCTGAGCAGCTGAGATTACAGGCGTGAGCTGTTGGCCCAACCACCCATGAGTCACAAGATTCCATGTCTTGCGTCCCTGGGGAGAGAGAAAACTCTCAGGAGCCTTGCCCGTTCCCAAGGATTTGTGTGATTGTCTTTTCACCTGGAAACTCTGCCCCTGGTCCAGGCGGTGCTGTACAACGACCGGTCGGTGCTGGAGAACCACCACGCCGCCGCTGCCTGGAGCCTTTTTATGTCCCGGCCCGAGTACAACTTCCTGGCCAACCTGGATCACGTGGAATTCAAACACTTCCGCTTCCTTGTCATTGAAGCCATTTTGGCCACTGACCTGAAGAAGCACTTCGACTTCGTAGCCAAGTTTAACGCCAAGGTAACGAGATCCTCACCCAACTTCCCTCTAGAAGCCCGTGGAAAGACATCCTGGAAAACCCTTCCCCCCCATAAAAAAGAAATGCTTCATAGTCATCCACTCTCCTAAGTCAAATAGGGAATTGAAATGTCTCACAGGAAGGGAAATCTACAGGCCGTGGTGTGAATCTGAGCATCTAAGATGTTGAAGTGGTGTGTGTGAGTGTGTGTGTGTGTGTGTTATGCTTGATTTTGTAAAGGAAAAACAATAACAACAGCAACAATAATAATAGAGGCTAACCACTATTAGGAGTTTCTTTGAAAGTGGATATTTGTAGCTAGGTTGTCTTGCTAGACATGGATGCTCGATGTCACCTTGTGTTTGGGAGAGCATCTTGCTGGGACGTTGATCCTCTGTGACTAGACATTGATCTACGCTGTCGGCTTGGGGTTCTCCTGTCATCTTTTTAGATACAGCATTTGTTAGCTGTCCTAAAACTTCACAGTTATTCTTGCCTATGGTTTATTGTTTCACTGAGTGGTCATTTTGGGGTTGGTTTTGTTCCGTTTGGTTTTTCTTTTTCTTTTACTTTTTGCCCCTACCTAAGATTTGAACTCCGGGCCTGGTGTCGGGACTCAGTGTTCTTGCCCAGGGCTAGGAGCTCAGGTGTAAGCTGCCAACGCCTGGCTTCATCACTTCGCTTTTTTTGGGGGGGTGAGGGGTGGGGAGGGAGGTCAGTCCTTGGTCTTGAACCCAGGGCCTGGGCGCTGTCCCTGAGCTCTTCCACTCCAGGCTGGGGCTCTACACGTGAGCCTCAGCTCCACTTCCGGTTTTCTGGTGGTTCCTGGGAGATCAGAGTCTCACGGACTTTCCTGCCCAGGCTGGCCTTGAACCCCGATCCTCGGCTCTCAGCCTCCTGAGCAGCTGGGGTGGCCGGCGGGAGCGGTAGGACGAGGACGATTGTCCCCTGGAGGACTCCTGCCCGCCTCGCTCCCGCGTGGGCTGCGCCGCGGCGTGACTCCTCCCTCTGACCCCGCAGGTGAACAACGACGTGGGGATCGATTGGACCGATGAGAACGACCGGCTGCTGGTGTGCCAGATGTGCATCAAGCTGGCCGACATCAACGGGCCGGCCAAGTGCAAAGAGCTCCACCTGCAGTGGACGCAGGGCATCGTCAATGAGTTCTACGAGCAGGTCAGGCGGCCCCGCCCCGCCCAGGCCACGCCCCCGCCCAGGCCATGCTCCCGCAAGGCCCCACCACGCCCCGCCCAGGCCACGCCCCCACGCAGGCCATGCTCCTGCAAGGCCCCACCCCGCCCAGGCCACGCCCCCGCGCAGGCCACGCCCCCACCCAGGCCATGCTCCCGCAAGGCCCCACCACGCCCCCGCCCAGGCCACGCCCCCACGCAGGCCATGCTCCCGCAAGGCCCACCCCGCCCAGGCCACGCCCCCGCCCAGGCCATGCTCCCGCAAGGCCCCACCACGCCCCGCCCAGGCCACGCCCCCACGCAGGCCATGCTCCCGCAAGGCCCCGCCCCGCCCAGGCCACGCCCCCACCCAGGCCACGCTCCCGCCCAGGCCACGCCCCCGCGCAGGCCATGCTCCCGCAAGGCCCCACCCCGCCCAGGCCCCGCCCCGCCCAGGCCACGCCCCCACCCAGGCCATCCTCCCGCAAGGCGCACCCCGCCCAGGCCACGCCCCCACGCAGGCCATGCTCCTGCAAGGCCCCACCCCTCCCAGGCCAAGCCCCCGCAAGGCCACGCCCCTGAAAGGCCCGCCCCCCGCCCAGGCCACACCTCCAATCGGGCCATGCCCATGTCCCAGCTTACCCGGCCCAAGCCACGCCTCCACCCAGGCCACGCCTCTGCCCCACGCCATACCTCCACCCAGGCCACGCCCCACCCCAGCCTACCCAGCCCAAGCCACGCCTCTGCCCCAGGCCACACCTCCACCCAGGCCACGCCCCACCCCAGCCTACCCAGCCCAAGCCACGCCTCTGCCCCAGGCCATGCCTCTGCCCCAGGCCACACCTCCTCGCAAGCCACGCCTCCACCCAGCCCAAGCCACGCCTCCTCCTGATCTCTTAGTTTATCACGCTCGCCTGCTCCTGGAGCTGCGCTTTGCACCTGCTTGCCGGCTCCTGGAGCTCCTGGGGCTGTGCGGAGGGATTTGCACGCGCATGCCCGGCACCTGGAGCTGTGCAGAGGGGTGTGCACGCGCATGCCCGGCTCCTGGGCTGTGCAGAGGGGTGTGCACACGCACGCCGGCTCCTGGGCTGTGTGCAGGGGTTTGCACACGCACGCCGGCTCCTGGGGCTGTGCGGAGGGGTTTGCACGCGCACGCCGGCTCCTGGGGCTGTGCGGAGGGGTTTGCACGCGCACGCCGGCTCCTGGGGCTGTGCGTGTCGGGCAGGTGGACCGCTCGGCCTGTGCCCCACGCGCGTCCCCCCCTCCCGCCGCTCACACCACCGCCTCGCTCCTAGGGGGACGAGGAGGCCAGCCTCGGTTTACCCATCAGCCCGTTCATGGACCGCGCGGGCCCCGCAGCTGGCCAACCTGCAGGAGTCGTTCATCTCCCACATCGTGGGGCCCCTGTGCAACTCGTACAACTCGGCCGGCCTCATGCCGGGACGCTGGCTGGACGACGGGGACGGCCCCGAGGAGGAGGACGAGGAGGAGCAGGAGGAGGAGGAGGAGGAGGAGCAGGAGGAGGAGGAGGAGGAGCAGGAGCAGCAGGAGGAGGAGGAACAGGAGGAGGAGGAGGAGGCCCATGAAGAGGAAACCTGTGAAAACAGCAAGCCCCCCCGTGAGTGTGCGCACGCGCGGGCTCGCCTCTCGGCGGGCACGCGTGGGTGTGGGGGTCGCGCGTGGGTGAGGGGTCACGCGCGTGGGTGTGCGGTCGCGCGTGGGTGTGGGGTCGCGCGCGTGGGTGAGGGGTTGCGCGTGGGTGTGGGGTCGCGCGTGGGTGTGGGGGTCGCGCGCGTGGGTGTGGGGTCACGCGTGGGTGTGGGGGGTCGCGCGTGGGTGTGGGGGGGGTCGCGCGTGGGTGTGGGGGTCGCGCGTGGGTATGAGGGTCACGCGTGGGTGCGGGGGTCGCGCATGGGTGTGGGGGGTCGCGCGTGGGTATGAGGGTCACGCGAGGGTGCGGGGGGTCGCGCGTGGGTGAGGGGTCGCGCGTGGGTGCGGGGGTCACGCGAGGGTGCGGGGGGTCGCGCGTGGGTGTGGGGGGTCGCGCGTGGGTGTGGGGGGTCGCGCGTGGGTGCGGGGGTCACGCGTGGGTGTGGGGGTCGCGCGTGGGTGCGGGGTCGCGCGTGGGTGCGGGGGGTCGCGCGTGGGTGTGGGGGGTCGCGCGTGGGTGCGGGGGTCGCGCGTGGGTGTGGGGGGTCGCGCGTGGGTGCGGGGGGTCGCGCGTGGGTGCGGGGGTCACGCGTGGGTGCGGGGGTCACGCGTGGGTGCGGGGGTCGCGCGTGGGTGCGGGGGTCACGCGTGGGTGTGGGGGTCGCGCGTGGGTGCGGGGGTCGCGCGTGCGTGTGGGGGGTCGCGCGTAGGTGCGGGGGCCGCGCGTGCGTGCGGGGGGGTCGCGCGTGGGTGTGGGGGTCGCGCGTGGGTATGGGGGGTCGCGCGTGGGTGAGGGGTCACGCGTGGGTGAGGGGTCACGCGTGGGTGAGGGGTCACGCGTGGGTGTGGGGTCGCGCGTGGGTGTGGGGTCGCGCGTGGGTGCGGGGGGTCGCGCGTGGGTGTGGGGGTCGCGCGTGGGTGCGGGGGTCACGCGTGGGTGCGGGGGTCACGCGTGGGTGCGGGGGTCGCGCGTGGGTGCGGGGGGTCGCGCGTGGGTGTGTGGGGGTCGCGCGTGGGTGTGGGGTCGCGCGTGGGTGTGGGGGTCGCGCGTGGGTGTGGGGTCGCGCGTGGGTGTGGGGGGTCGCGCGTGGGTGTGGGGGTCGCGCGTGGGTGTGGGGTCGCGCGTGGGTGTGGGGTCGCGCGTGGGTGCGGGGGTCGCGCGTGGGTGTGGGGGTCGCGCGTGGGTGCGGGGGGTCGCGCGTGGGGTTGCGTTTGAGTCCGGTGGGCGGGGGTTGTAAGAAGCAACGTGGGTGACATTGACAGGAATGGCACACAGCGTGTGAAGTGTGAAGTAGGTGGATGAGGGAGGAGCAAGGGGAGGAGGAGGAGGAGGGGGAGGGGGAGGGGGAGGGGGAGGAGGGGGAGGGGGAGGAGGGGGAGGGGGAGGAGGGGGAGGGGGAGGAGGGGGAGGAGGGGGAGGGGGAGGGGGAGGAGGGGGAGGGGGAGGGGGTGGAGGGGGAGAGGGGGAGGGGGAGGGGGAGGGGGAGGGGGGAACGAGGAGGAGGGGGGGGAGGGCTGTGAGGGACACTCTGTCTTGTGCTCAAGTCCGCTCTGGGCCAGGGCCAGCCTCCATGGTCTCTGCTCATGGAGACGCCATCCTGGTGGCTCTCATTAATCCTCCGTGGGGCCTGCTTTGCCTGAGCTTCACCTGGTCTCTTCCCGCCACCCCCCCCCCCCTCCCTCACCCCCCCCCTCCCTCACCCACCCCTCCCTCACCCCCCCCCCCCCCCCAGGGTATCTGGGATTGCAGGCTCTTGTTTCCAATGAGCTACCAAACAAATCCTGAACTAGAACTCTGGTTCAAGTGGTAGAGCACCAGCCTTGAGTGAAAGAGCTCAGGAACAGCGCCCCCCCACGCACACACACACACACACACACACACGCACACGCACGCGCATGCGCGTGCACACACACACAATTCTCATTGTTGTTGCTAGTCATTTTAATTTTATAGTTCCTAGGGGCTACCTTGGTTGAACTCCATACTTTGATTTCAGGAGGGGAAAAAAATTAAGTTTGATTAACTATGCCCTGATAAGTTCTGTCCTTAGAAAAGCTTGGAGCTCTTCCAGGAAAACTCAGAATAAAATGCTTTATTAACCCTGGCCTGCAGACAGACTGCTTTTATCCCCTCACAATTAAATCCCAGCGTCTCCCAGGGTGAGCTAAGAGGTTTCTAATGAAGTCTAAACCCCATTTCGCAGTTTCACAATAAGAGGCTCTGGAGTTCTCCTGCCCCCAACCTTCCAGCCCCAAACCATCAGGCTCCTCTACCTGAGCATTTGACCTCCTGCAGATTCCAGCCGACACCCATCTCTGTGGGTACAGACTTTGGCTTCCACCTTGTTCTGTTCGGTTCTACTTCCAGAGATGAGATGTTCCTTGTAGCTTTTGGTTCAGCATGAATAAGACAAGACGCGTTCTTGGGAAGGCTACCCTGAAAGGAAAGGGAGAGGGAGAATTTGCGCTTTCTTTAGCCTCACGCCTGTAATCAGAGCAACCCCGGCGGAGGCCGAGAGCCGGAGGATCTCCATTTGAGGCCAGGTTGAGGTCAGAAGAGTTCACTGGAATCCAGTTCCAAAAGAACCAGCAAAAAGTAGCACCGGAGGGTATAGCTCAAGAGGTAGAGTGCCAGCCTAGCAAGCAAGTTAGGTAAGACAGAGGAGCTGGGTTCAGACTTCAGTACTGCCAGTAATAATAATAATAATAATAATAATAATATATTTATTACTTATTATTTAGGCCTTCAGGTGATTTCAGAATCAAAGGCCCACATAATAAAGGAATGCAGAAATTCAGTCTTGGTTTTTTTCCCCATTACTTTTGGTGTGTGTGTGTGTGTGTGTGTGTGTGTGTGTGTGCGCGCGCACGTGTGTGTGTGTGTGTGCGCGCGCGCGTGTGTGTGTGTGTGTGTGTGGCCCTTGGCTTTCTCACTCGAGGCTGGTGCTCTACCACTTTTCTGTGGTTAACTGGAGATAAAAGTCTCACAATCCTCAGATCGCGTTCTCTTAAGCAGCCGGCCTGAGTCACTAGTGTGCAGTTTCTAGTCTTTCTTCTAGACTGTCTTGTATCTTCTGTTGACATTGCTTTTGTGTCAGCCAGGCCCGTCATCCCAGCCGCTTGGGAGGCTGAGATCCGAGGATCACCGTTCAAAGCTACCTTGGGTAGATAAGAACCACGTAGCTTTCATCTCAGATTAACCGGCGGGAGCCGGAGACATGGTTCAAGTGGTTAAGTACCAACCTTGAGTGGAAAAAGCCAGGGGAGAGCTTGAGACCTTAAGTTCAAGCCCAAGTCCTGGTAAACACAAAAAATATAACTCAATATATACACATACCACAAACATACCTTAAGTAGAAGAGTTCCGTGTCTGTAGGCAAAAGAGATCATTCAAGCAGAGACAGAGGCTAGACTAGAGAGAGAGAGAGAGAGAGAGAGAGAGAGAAAGAGGAGGGGGAAAAAGAGAGTTTATGTTAGCTTGTGAAAGAACTCAGGATGGGTTTTGAGATTCGTTTTAGTTCAAAGAAAAGTCCAAGAGCAGCCAACATCAGAAGTGTCTGGAAAGAAATCAGTCTGGACAACTTTTGTGAGTTAAATTGGTTGACAAAGAAATGGATGGATTGGGGGGGGGGGGAGGAAAATTCCACTAAGTGAAGCACGTCTAGCTTAGAGGGACGGAGCATGCACGCTTTCCCTCCCGTGTGGAAGGAAGCAAGCACTAAGTTATAAATTATATATATATGAAGCCAGAGGCACACAGACATCTCGACTGAAGCGTGGTTTATTGGAGGGGTCCCATGGCACAAGTCCTTTGAACAGCTGGCTGGCGGTCTCCCAAAAATGAAAACCAGGTAGCTAGAACTTGGGGTTTCAGGGGAAGGGTTTGGTGGAGGGGGAAAGCTGAGCGAAGGGAGAGGAAGCGGTGGGTCCTCATCCTCTCCGTCCACAGGAGGACCCGGAGTCAGGTGACTTGCGGGGAGGGGCGCGTGGGGTGGGGAGAGATGGGGGAGGAGGAGGGAAGGGGCGTCGTGGATCGAGACGCCTTGTCCCCGCCGGGTGTGCAAACCCCTTTGCACGGCGACTTGAAGGTAACTTACAAAGGGGTGAACTGAAAAAGGCAAATTGAAAACGAGGGCTGGGCAGGTGGCTCAGTGGTAGAGCGCTCGCCTCGCGTGCAGGAAGCCCTGGGTTCGAGTCCTCATCACCACAGACAACAGAAAAAAAGCCAGAAGTGGTGGCATTACGGCTCAGGGACAGCGCCCAGGCCCTGAGTTCAAGACCCAGGACTGGCAAAAAAAAAAATTAAATACGGATGTATAGGCGTAGGTGAGAAGTCTTGAGAGCCTGAATAAATAGGATTAACCGTCAGAACAAGTAGCACCTCATTTAAACGCTACCCAGCCGTCAGCCTTGCCCATCCTTGTGTCTCGGGGAGATTTCCATCTTCCGAGCATCACAAGAGGTCCATCAGGTAATGGGGAGAGACGCAGACTCCTGCTCGTAGGGCTTGGTCTGCCCACGACCAACTTCCACTGTCCTTCTGCTACTGACTCCAACCACAGTGTGTCTTCTGTTTGTCTCCAGGGAAGAGCAGAACCTTCAAGCCCAGGAGGATTTACTGCCAGATCACCCAGCACCTTCTTCAGAACCACACCATGTGGAAGAAAGTCATAGAGGAAGAGCAGCGGATGGCTGGGGCCGAGAAGCCCTCCGAGGCCCTGGCCAGCCAGCTGCCTGCTTCCGACCCGATCCAAGCCATCAAGGAAGAGGAGGAAGACAGGGGGAGACCAAGACCCCAGGAGCTGGAGGCCCCGCAGCCCGCGCTGTGACCCCGGGCAGCACGAACTGCATTGGCAAGACCGATCCCCTGCGTCCCTCACACCCGTACAACCGTAGACACAACACTGTAGAAGCAGCAGCAGAATGGCGCAGGCTGTGTGTGTGAGTGTGAGTGTGAGTGTGAGCGGTATTCCAAACCTTTTCTATATTTCACAGCGAGGTGCACGGTGAGAAACTCTTTTTTTGCTTCTACAGAAGCTCATACGTTTGCAACACCAGCTCTAAAGGAATAACTTCTTTTTGTTTAGGAAAGGTGTGTGTGAGTGTGTGTGTGTGAATGTGTGTGTGTCTTCCCACAGCCATGCAATCTGTATTTACACGCACACGCGTGCACACCTGCCAAAAGCCAACCCGACTTGGCTAGTAGTAAGTGTTTCTATTCAGATAGTTAGGGGTTCACTGTAATAGAAACCCGGGGTGGGGGGGGGGGTTAATTTAAAATAGAAAGAAAAAGACACAGCACAAGGAAAACGGTCCGTGTAGCATAGGAACTAGGCACCGAATGTGTTCTGTTCTGTTTTTGTTTTTGTTTTGTTTTAACCCTCTAAGAAGGTTTGTAGATTTGTTCTTTGTACCCAGGGAACGCTTCTTTTGAGTTCTGATAGAACCTGCCAGTCTTATTGTGCACACAGGAGAGTCAGGGGGAGGCCGTGTGTGTGTGTGTGTGTGTGTGTGTGTGTGTGTGTGTGTGTGTGTGAGTGTGTAGAGCTGTGGTGTGTTTAGAACCACAGCGCAGCTACAGCGGACGAGAGCAAAAGGGTAGAAGCTTCCCCCTGGGGTGTGTGGTTTCTGGAAGGCAGCCAGGCCCGGGCACTACAGCGTGGGCCTGAGTCCCAGCCCCTGGCAGTACCACAGGGCCCCACGGAGGGGCGCTGTCTCCCCAGCCCCGGGCCCCCCGCAGGCCACGCTTGCTGAGAAGCTATTAGTGATCAAATGAATGAAGGGATTGAGGACACCTAAAGATCTTAAAACCTAGAAACCACACCCCCACGGCAGTCAGAACCCTGGGTGCCTCTCAGGTCACGGGCCGGCTGTGTCAGAGAAAATTAAAACAACAACAACAACAATAATAATAACCAAGCAAAAGAGAAATCCGCTCTGGGCTAGGTAATAAGTCCAAGGGGCAATGGCAGGCTTCATGGAGAGTTGGCATCTCTTTTTCTTCTGGGGAGGGCGAGGGTTTGTTTGATTTTTATTTTTGGTGGTTGTTGTTGTTCTGATTTTGGTTATCTACACCTGTTTGACGCTGTGAGCCAAAAACCCCCCTATTTAAAAGAAAAAAAAATGGATATTCGTCCCACTATTTTATTTTCTATGATGATGTATGTCATGAGTAAGTCACCTTGATGTAAATATAAAGATTTTTTTTTTTTGGTTTTGTTTCTGTAGATAGTGAACTCCTTTTTGTTTAAAAAAAAGGGTGGGGAGGAGGGTTAAAAAGGGAAACATGTTTGTAAAGCAATATTTTAATCACCGTTTTTATACATTGGAGATTGGAGGTATCACTTCAAGCCCGGGAAATGGTGAGATTTGTTTTCGGTGACCTCTGTGGATAGCTGTTTATCAATTCTCACTGAAATGATGACCTGATACACACACTTTTTATCTTTTTTTATTTTGGGCCAATTAACTGAGGAAACTGTAGAATAATTCCATAGGAACTTTTTCTTTCCCCCTCCCCATAGTAACTTTTGCTCACTGAATACATTTGAGGACTTCGTCCTCTCCCCTCCCCCAAATCTCCCACAAGTGTTCATGGCTTTCTTAACCAGTATCAATTAAAAAAAAATAAAATGGAACCCATTCTCCCAAGCCCTTTGACAGCGTGCGTTTATAGGAACTCACTCAATTTCTAAATCATCTTCACGTCCATGAAAACCTTGGTAGGATTTCCGCTTTCGACTCTCTCAGAAGTCCTAGAAAGAAAGTTTGCATTTAAAAAAAAAATCCCTTTATTCCAAACCAGGAACGGTGCTCACGCCTGTCTTCCCAGCTGCTCAGGAGGCTGAGATCTGAGGATCGCAGTTCAAAGCCAGCCCAGGCAGGAAAGTCTGTGAGACTCTGACCTCCAGTGAACTACCCCAAAAAAGCCAGAAGTGGGGCTATTTGCTCTAGCCTTGAGCAAAAACACTAAGGGACAGCACCCAGGACCAACACACACACACACACACACACACACACACACTCCCTTTATTTCTCAGTCCTGCATAATAGGTTCTTTTCAAAGCATAATTTTACAATCATCTGGTGTTTTTTTTTCCCCAAAATTAGGCAAAAAAAAAAGACAAAAGGAAAAAGCAATGTGATTTCAAGGATAATTTTTCATAAGGAATGGAAATGTGTAAAAAAAAAAAAAAAAGTCAAAATAGCTGAAGATTCTAACCTAAAAAATTAGCGTCTATTTCCATATATCTGGGGGGGGGGGGGGGGAGGCTAACTGCAGGATTTCTTTTTTTTTTTTTAACCCAGCACATTCTGTGTGTGTGTGTGTGTGTGTGTGTGTGTGTGTGTGTGTGTGTGTGTGTGTGTGTAAGATTTCCCTGTGAATGGAATCAAGCATTCCTACAAATAAAAGGAAGGAAAAACAAAAACAAAACAAAAACAACCAGCCATCTTATTACTGAAAATTAACCTTTCCCTTCTACCCTTTAGACCGCATAGCTCTGAAGGAAGGAAAAAAATACCTAGAATGATCAAAATCTAAACTCTTAAATCGGGGCTGGGGGCGGGGGGAATCTAGGTATAGGGTAAGTTTGGTAACAGAACCATTGGGAGGTTGTAATAATATATATATATATATGTGTGTGTGTGTATATATATATATATATATATGAGCTTGTTTTTATTAAATATGAAACACTGAAGTCGTCACCCATTGGCTGCCTAAGGTACATGACATAATTCAACGCCCCCTCATCAAAGTACAGAAGAACCCCTTACTCCTCCCCCCCCAAAAAAAGTGTGTTACTTAATCTTATTTTGTAATTTAACAATGAAAGTGCCCGTCCTAGGAAAGTTTAGAAGTCAGCTGCTTTTTTTAATTTTTTTTTTTAAACAAAAGAGACATCCACAGAGTGATTCCAGCATCTGCCCAGACTTTGTAGATCTCCAAGGGGAGACGAATCGCTTTTCTACCGTTGATATTTGCCTGTTCTCATATTTTCTCCCAGTTGAAGATCTTGCTTCCTGAGGTGCCCATTGAGTTTGTAGGAAAGACAGCTCTCTAGTTAAAAATACTGAGGAGAGGAGAAGAAAAGATCTATTGAGACAGGTTGATCTCTGTCAAACGTCCAGCTGTGTTCTATCTTGATTTGTTCACATGTTTCCAGAATGTGTTTCCCTGTGAAGGAAGCGAACTCTTGAGAATGTCGGTTTTCCTTGGTTGATGATAATATTTTTGCTTTTTTTCCCCTTTCCCCCTTTGATGTTTTCTGCAGCATTTTTGTGCGTGGATTTTTTTCCCCTCTGTATTACTAATCTTCACCTGACCTGTAAAGAGATCTCACTGTGTTATATTTTCCAGAAAATGTTCATTTGTCTAAACACATATAACCCAATGCTGTCTGTTCTTCAGTGTTCCGTCAAATTTCCAGAACAAATCTTCGCCATGGTGACCCCGTTAATACTAATGAGCAGAAAAGGAACAGTTTATTAAATATCTGGAGGCTGATAAAAACCACCATCCCCTTCCCACATCCTCTGCCTTACTTTCCCAGAGAACTTTCTAGAAAAGTTTTTGTTTTTGTTTTTTAAAGACACGGGACTTAGGCCTATTCTTTGTGTGATGGGAAGAAAAAAAAAGTAAATTATTTTCTAAGTAATAAAAATATGGGGGGGGGGGGATTTGTCATTTGTAAATAAAGCCTGAAGTTTGAAAGGATTTCTCTAGCAAAGTGGAATGTTTACGAGATGAATAACTCTCCGGCTAATAGAAATGGAATAATTCAAAAATGGCAAGTGTATTTTTTTTTTGGAGGGGGGCATTCTCTCCTGGTCTTGTAAAATAAACCCTAAACATGGAGTAGAAGCCAGAAAGATCTCCTGACATCCAATTTCCATTCAACACCTCGCTCGATTTAGAGGATTCAGACAAATGAATGGTTTTGTGCACATTGGCTGAAGGTTCTGTGAACTTCTGGCCTAAAATTAACTGAGCTTTTGTGCATTCTTTTATCATCTACATGTTAAAAAAAAAAAGAAAAAGAAAACAACTACTAGAAAATTTTCAGGTGCAAATATTCCAGGGCCTAGTAGATGAAGAGCCAAAATATCTGTGTCCTATCAAACCAACCTGAATTCCTTTCATCTTCTCACATAGTAAGTGGTGAACTATTCTATATCTCATTATATATTATATATAATATTTTTTGGTGTAGATTCTGGGGTTTGAACTCAAGGCTGAAGCATTGTTTGGTTCAAGGTTGGCACTCTACCACTTGAGCCACAGCTCTACTTTTGACCTTTTGGTAGTTAATTGGAGATAAGAGTCTCATGGACTTTTCCTGCCCAGGCTGGCTTAGAACTTTGATCCTCAGATCTCAGCCTCTTGAGTAGCTAAAATTATAAGCAAGAGCCACCGATGCCTGGCTGGCTAACAATGAACTCTTTTAAGACTTTCTATTGTTTTAGATCGTTTATTTCCCTCACGATTTCTCCATGCATTGCCTTGTTATTCTCTGAGAATTGTCTGCTGTTATATGCCCTTTTTAAAAAACAAAATTTGCTCGGGAAAATTCATGTTTAAGATGGGGAAAGCCATGAGCCTCTATGGAGTTGAAGACCCTTTCCAAATTCAATGATTCCAGCACCTTCTATTCAAGAGGCAACGGGTTTGTGTTGGGTTCCGTATCCATATGCTGTTCATTTGCTCTTGCAAAAATAATTCAAGGTTGGCCGGACGCCGGTGGCTCACGCCTGTCATCCCAGCTACTCAGGAGGCTGAGATCTGAGGATCATGGTTCAAAGCCAGCTTGGGCAGGAAAGTCTGTGAGACTCTGATCTCCAATGAATCACCAGAAAACAAGAAGTGAAGCTGTGGTTCAAGTGGTAGAGCATCAGCCTTGAGTGAAAGAGCTCAGG